ACTACTACTACTACTACTACTACTACTACTACTACTACTACTACTACTACTACTACTACTACTACTACTACTACTACTACTACTACTACTACTACACCCATATCAACTTTAACTTCAGTCTGTACAATTCAGTTTATTTATCAAACACTTTTCCTTTCTCCTTCTTTACAATCTAGATAAAACGAAAAGAAAAAAGAAGAAAATACAAAATCAAATCTTTCACGCGCTAAGCTTATCCTTGGTCTTGGCCAAGTACTCACGGTAACTTGGTTGGTTGGCGATTCTATCCTCAACCAATTGGGAAGATGCCCACAATCTGAAAGAGCTCACCTGTTGAGCATTGGCATCCAATGGCTCATTGGCTGAACCCCCTCTAACGATAAACAAGTTCTCGTATATCGACGTATCAACACCTTCTCTGACTTTACTGATGATGTTTCTAACTCTTTGGTTAAACTCACTGTCCAGCTCGGCAAGCTCAACTTTACCAATTGGAACCTGGAAGATATCTGGAACACCAAAGACATCGCTCACCAGCTCTGGAACGGCGTCACCTCCGATCCACAAGAACAACTCGGTAGTGGTATTGATCAAATACAACCCGTATCTCTCGAAGGATTCAGCGCTAGCATTGATGGCATCTGGTAAAACAATATCACCAGTCTCCTCATTAGGGAAGCCAGCATCATCCGCCATGTCATGAAGAGAATAGACAGTTGGGTATATGTATCTGATCAATTGTGGCAATGGCAAGGATCCTAACAAGTTCAAGGCATTGGCTCTGTGGTCTGGTGGAACCACACCAGATCTGAAACCAATGTGTTTGGTCAATGCGTGCAACAACAGAGGCAACATTCTCAGATTGTTTGCCAACATCAGTGGAGATGCACCACCAACATTACCAGCAACGACTTCCTTCTTGAAAACGTTGAAGATATCGAGCATGTGTTTCGACAAGAGCTCTCTGGCGTCGTTGAACGAACCGTTGTAAACCTTTTGGATGGCCTTATGAGTGAAATAATTAGTGATGGCCAATTGGTCAGCAGATGCAAACACGTCAGAAATGTTAGATGTAGTTGGAAGAGCCGCTGTGATGACTCTAATTCTTCTTTCACCATTAATGGTAGTGTGGAGAACGGCTGATTGGAAGAAGGCAAGTGGTTTCGTGAGGTTCTCGTCAATGGAAATCTCAATAACATAACTTTGATCCCTTGGGAAAGTTGGGAAAGAGCACAAATCGGATGATCTACTGAAGAAGTTACCGTAGAAAGTTTTTGTAGTCAGTCCACTCGATCCTCTGGTTCTCAAAACAGCCTCCAAGGCAATATCCTGAGTAATAACATTGGACAATTCCTTAGACAATTTGGTAACATCCTCAATACTAGTGGCAGACCAAGCTGGGTAGTAGTGAGTTTGACCAGCGGTGTATCTTGGCAAGTTCGCCAATGTTGCAACATCTTGGTAACTTGCTCCTGTAAGGAAGAACTCAACGGTAACTTGAGACTTGTTACAGTCAACAGCAAATGACTTGTAGAAGGAATCATTGGCGTTCAGAAGAGCAGATGCCTCCTTTGAAGTATTTGCAACAGCGGAGGCATCTCTAACAGGAAGCTTACCGGTACCGACGTTTGGCAAACTAGCAGCCAGGGTGATAATCTTACCTCCAGTATTCTCAATCAAGTTATGTGCCGATTTAAGAGCTGGACCAAGAGCAAAACCTGGGTTCAAATTGTCGCTAAACAAACTGTTCAAGTTTTCCAACAACTTTTCGATGTTCTTTCTGGCTAACGTCAAATTGACAACAAGAGACTCTGGGTATGGAGAGAATGGTTCCTCCAAGTCTGGGACAACTAAGATAGAGGTCTCACCGGATTCAGTGTCCTCTGGGATGTTGAAATAGTTCAATGAGGAATCCACAGCGATGAATCCAACTCTGGTTCTATCATCCTTGTTTGGAATTCTGTCCAAAGTCTCTAAAATGGTGGTGGCAGCGGTGGCAACCAAACCTGATCTGACAGCAGTCACAGACACGTCAATGACAAAGACATAAGCTAGTGGTTGTGGAGGTCTAATCATATACTCCGGTGGAGCAATGAACTCAACAACCGAGTGGTTCAATTCGTTTCTTTCGTATCTGTTCACAGATCCGTACATTTCGTTATGATCGAACCCAGCAGGAACATCATTGGCGAGGGAACAGAAGTTACATCTCCATCTCTTGTTATCCTGCTGGAATTGGACATAAGGGTTAATGTAAGCACGACAACGACGACAACGTGAGATGATCAGATCAGTAACTTCGTTGACCGGTTTGACGTCGTTCTTCAAAGTGACATACGGTCTAATGACAAGGGCAAATGGCAATCTAGTCTTTTTCAAAAGCGAGTTTGTATTTGGAATGGCATTCAAGGTCGATCTGAAAGCCTCTGATGGCGCATTGGCATCAGGAGCACCTGGAACAACAGAGGCATTTGGGGCAACAATGACTGGTGGTGGTGGTAGCGAGAGATCTGAGATTGGTGGTGGTAAATCTCTCAATAGATCTGTCTGGTAGAGCAAGTTCAAAGGCATTGCCTGAACCTCATTGGACGGAGCTGCACCATAAGCACCATTGCCAGCCGGTGGTTGATAGGCACCTCCATACGCAAGTGGCTGTGTCTGCTGGTATGGCGAGCGCTGTACCTGTGGTTGTACTTGTGGTTGTGGTTGTGGATAACCGCCTTGGTAACCCTGTGGTTGGCCACCAACGCTCATGTTGGAAAACCCGTGGGCAACCTGCTCGAAACCAGCAGACGACACCGCTGGGGATTGAAGGCCATTGGCAGGGCCGGTCGCAGGAGTGAAGTAAGCTGGTTGGCCTGGAACTCCGCCAACAGGAGCTCCACCATACGCTGGCTGTTGGGAAACAGCAGCTTGTACTGGCGCCGCAGCGGTATACTGAGCTTGTGGATATTGACGTCTCTTATGCGACATAGTACAGTTCTGATGAGCGTCAACAGGTTAAAACGGTGTCAATAACTTCAATTAGCCGATCCTTAGACTGTAGCGTTCTTTTGTCCCTTTGTTGTGTGTGCGGTGGTGTTGTTTTTTGGCCTTTCGGATTTTGATTGTTTTGATCTTCCCTTTCCACGGTGTCTTTTTGAATTTTTCCTCGAGTTTGGACAACGTCCGGGAAAGTGCTGCATTGTAGAACCGGGGGCTTAGTGTCACGTGCCTCTCCCGGTTCTGTACTTCCCAGGTGGTGTTTGGGTTTTTCTCCATAGTTTCCTTTTACCCAACAAAGCGTGTAACCACGTACAGTGGAGAATGGGTGATTATAAGGAGCGGTGCTTTGGGCGTTTCTCCCTGTTTTTCCCTTAAATTCTCCCTGGACAGCTCAATCTCTTCGTATTTTGAACCCGATACTACGAGCTACACAGAGAATTGACAGCATGGAAGGACAGTACTTCAACCTATTGACACACTCCATCACGGGTGCTGCAAGGCCTTCAGTGGTAACTTTAAGAAGTGTGCTTCAAGACATAAAGAACCTCAGATTTGAGACCTGTAAGGGTAAGCCAGGGTTTATGAAGGCATTTATGACTGATCCTCGTGTGATCTCGCACGTTGATGGTATTATCAAACTGGAGCTGGAAACTGGTGCGCTTGATGCATTGTATGCAGACACGAGACGTGCGCAGTTGCTGGAATGGCTAGGGGATTATTACTATATTCAACTGACAAAGATATCCAACTTGGATACCAGCACTCAAAACCATCTGATACAACTTCATGCTGCATATATTGTGTTCAGTCATATTCTACCAACCATATTCCAGGACGGGATTTGGGTCAACAGAGACACGTTTAAGCAGTTCAAAGAAAGAGCAGCTTCTCTCGAGCATCCGTTACTGTTGTTGCCCAACCACCAGTCCCATATTGACTATATTATTATTCATTTCCTATATGTACTCTCCAGTCTAGAGACACCATTGGTGATTGCTGGTGAGAATTTGAATGTTCCGATCTTTGGGCCGATACTCAAGAGATTTGGTGCCATCTTTATCAAGAGAAGATTCACTGATGCAGATTTCTGGTATAAGCCAAGTATGAAGAGACTGCTGAGCGAAAAACTAAAGTCTAATCCACAGGTCGAGCTGTTCATAGAAGGTACAAGATCTCGTAATGGTAAGCTCATGCTTCCAAAGACCGGTTTTGTTCAACTGATTCAAGAATCGCTAAACGGCCGTGACGCTTACGTCCAGCCGATATCTTTGGTTTACGAAAAGCCATATGAGTTTCACGATTACTTAGTGGAACTTAACGGTATGGATAAGAGACAGGAGTCGTTCTCATCGATCTTATCATCTGGTTTGAATTTATTGGTTTTGAAGAAGTCACCAAATTTTGGGAAGCTGGTCATCAATTTTGATAACGCTTTCCTCACACTCAATGCTCAAACAAATATACAAGACTTGTGCAACATGACCATGCAAAGAATTCATCAGATTGGTTACATCACAGAAATCTCAATCGTTGGCATGGCCTTAACTACACTATTTTACCGTGACGTCCACGTCAAGAAAATATCCAAGTTAGACACATGCAGTGTCGTTAAACAGCTCACTGAACTATTAATACAGAAGACATCCACCAATGATCATCTCTTTTCCATTTTAAACATGGATGATGAGACTCTGATGCAGACGATATCTTCTTTGCTGAGACGTTTCCTCGATAAGCACATCCTAATCACAGACGATGCATATATAATCTTGGAAGAGACCAGTCTTGTGTACTTCAAGAACTCACTGTTGAGCCATTTTGTATCAGAGATGTTCCTCATTAAGACAAAGAATCACTATCCAACGTTAGATATACTGAAACGTTTGTTCAACTTTGAATTTTTAACATCCTTGATCGATGAACAGACCGAGATTCACCCTGAATATATTCCATTATTCGGTAAACTCCTTGATCCATTCATTGAATCTTATGAGATTGTGCTCAAGAATTTGAGAGGAGTATACGCTACAAGTTTTAAAACTTGGTTGCATCTTTTGTACGCAAGTTCACCAAATGTCACATACAAAGAAAGCATGAATAAGTCAAACTTGCTGTATGCCATATACACCTTACAGTACCTTGGCCTGGTGAAGATTACAAAAGTCAAGAATATTGAAGTTGTGGATGAGCAAGGCCTTCTGTTATTTCAAAACTACTTGCATTCTCTCAAACTAGGACAGCCTCCTCAGCAGGAAGGCTCTGTTGCTAGAAGAGTACTACAAATTAAGTCGAAGATCTGAGGTATTCTCTGTCTTATTTCATTTTCTGACAGCGACGATGCTTGGAGCCCCTAACAACAATCTTTCCCTCAATGCTTGATCGAAGGCAAAGACATATAACCCTCTGACACCTCTTGTAAGTAAAACATTAAGCGAATTTAACACAATCTTTTCTCTAACAGTTGCAACGTTGTGGATGTTCTTCTTCCGTGTGAATCCAGCATGGTCATCATAGAATTCAGGCTTGACCTTGATGCTATCTGTAAGCGGATCATACTGTAAGCTTCTTCCAAGGATTACACCAGCATAATTCAGATCAAAGCCTTGAATTGTGTATACCGAGCCAACCTCGTCAATCGTATCCTCTCTTTCTGACCATGGAATGGTTATCTGAGGTAAGTACCGATCCCAACGCAGTTTGAACTCATCGGATTCGGAATACACGAAATAATCAGCACCATCGAGTCGATAAGGAAAGTCATACGTGGAGAGGATTCTGCATTGGCCATATTCAGCATTTCTTGCCTTTATCATATCGTACATCGCCTGGCACGATTCAAAGACTTTGAATTCGAAGCCTCCGATTAAGGCATCTTTTATTGGCAATGGATTTATCTTTTTATTAGTGGAGATGTCGTTGATCCATTGAAGCAGATCATCCTGTGCCACGACACGAAACTGTTTCTTTAGCTGGTGAACCTGGAAATCCCTCACTCTTTCCTGTGAGAGGTAGTAGGACAAGGAGGCACCATCGGCAGAGTTCACTCCCCAGTACGACCCCATTCTCAACGACTGTTTATCGTCAAAGACTAACACGGCAACTTTACATATCCTTAATAACTCCTCCAGATGGTTCTCCTGGTAAAATCTCTTGAACGCGTCCTTTGAAGTGGAGAGCAGATGAGCCTCATCGATGATAAGAACATCGATGGGTCTGCCTTCGTTGGCGTACTTGTTGATTAAAGTGGTTGGTCTTTCGAGGTCCGCTTTCTTTATGAACGGGAACTGTTTGGCAATCTCACGATAGAGCTTTAGCATTTCAGGATGATTGACCACAAGATAGTTGTTTGTCTGAGAAAGTACCTCATCGTTCGTTGTTCTTGACAGCTTTTGAATCGTATTGAAGAGAGAGTTCAGTATCACAGACTTGCCAGTTCCAGCATCACCGTTGATGAGAAACACATCTGGCTTATCGTGTTCCTTTGAAGCTATAGAACGCTTAACAAAATCCAGAATTCTTATCTTCAAATCCTGTTGCTCTTCAGATAGGGCTATATGCGAAATCTTGTTCACTGCTGCTGTTGTTCCTCCTCTGCTACCTGTCGCAACACCTGATCCTCTCGTTCTCTTCGGATGCAGCACACTCGTCTGGTCAATCCCACGCTTCTGTCCAGCGTTTGAAATCATATTTACCACAATATCCACTGGCACGACTACTTGATCAGGAACGGAATGGAAAGCTTGATAACTTTTCCATTTAGAAGAAGGAAATAAATTTATAACGAAAAGTGTGTGAGAGACAACGCGGTACACTCGACAGAAAGATGCATTGGTCTAAACTCCGCAGAGCTCAGGAAACGATGATCCGAGAATTTCTTCCTGGGCCCACATCTGGGAGCAATTTAAAGCAATGGAGGACAACACATACGCACTGCTTTGCAGAGATGATGCACCAATCAATTAGAGCAGACAGGTGAGCTGGTTCCATATACAGTGTATCTTAGATATGTTCTACTGGTAGTGGCTTACAAAGCTACATCAAGTTCGTACAAAAATACACATTCCCTATTTACCTGATACGAAATAACTAACCAGCAATCTCTCTCCTTGAGGAAACGGGCATTGCCGAAAGTGCACAACATACACAACCGTAGTCAAGACGTTTCCGAATATGGAGCAGAAGGCTAGAAAAGCGTAGGAATAGATATCTAAAGGACATACAAATAAACCAAAGAGGATAAGAGCAGCTTTTTTTTTTCTTTTAAAAGGTTGTCAAGAAAAAATAATGACAAAAGGCTATCAAGCTCTTTAGAAACACTTGTGGTGGACAATAGATGGACCAGCTTCGTCGTATTCTTGCTTTGAGATCCACATCTGTTGGAAAGTGGACAAGGAAGCCAAGATGGAACCACCAATCCAGACAGAGTACTTTCTCTCTGGTGGAGCAATGATCTTAACCTTCATGGAGGATGGGGCCAAAGCGGTGATCTCCTTTTGCATACGCTCAGCGATACCTGGGAACATAGTAGTACCACCAGACAAGACAATGTTACCGTACAACTCTCTTCTGACATCGATATCGGTCTTTGTGATGGAGTTGTAGGTGGTTTGGTCAATACCAGCAGCTTCCAAACCAATCAAAGATGGGTGGAACAAAGCCTCTGGAGCTCTGAATCTCTCGTTACCGATGGTAATGACTTGACCATCTGGCAATTCGTAGGACTTCTCGATAGCAGAGGATTGAGCAGCAGTTTGCAACTCTTGGTCAAAGTCCAAAGCAACGTAAGCCAACTTCTCCTTGATGTCACGGACGATTTCTCTCTCGGCAGTGGTGGAGAAAGAGTAACCACGCTCGGACAAGATCTTCATCATGTAGTCAGTCAAGTCACGACCAGCCAAGTCAATTCTCAAGATGGCGTGTGGCAAAGCGAAACCAGCGTAGATTGGAACAACGTGGGTAACACCATCACCAGAATCCAAAACGATACCAGTGGTTCTACCAGAGGAGTAAAGAGACAAGACAGCTTGAATGTTAACGTAGAAAGCTGGAACGTTGAAAGTCTCAAACATGATTTGGGTCATCTTTTCTCTGTTAGACTTTGGGTTCATTGGAGCCTCGGTCAACAAGACTGGGTGCTCTTCTGGAGCAACACGCAACTCGTTGTAGAAAGTGTGATGCCAGATCTTCTCCATGTCATCCCAGTTTGTAACGATACCGTGCTCAATTGGGTATCTCAAGGTCAAGATACCTCTCTTGGATTGAGCCTCATCACCAACATAGGAGTCCTTTTGACCCATACCAACCATGATACCTTGGTGTCTTGGTCTACCAACAATGGATGGGAAGACGGCTCTTGGAGCGTCATCACCGGCGAAACCGGCCTTACACATACCGGAACCGTTATCAATCACGAGCTAAAAACAGTGTTAGTAACATGGAAATTGTCAGTTTAGGGGGCAAGTATGAAAACATACGGCAGCAATTTCTTCTATAGAGACGTGTGTTAGTTATAATGATCAATCACAACTGTAAAAGATCCTTTGAATATACCACCGACACTGAATAGGAAGATCGGCTGTTTGGGTGTTGCGGAATGTTTCCTGATTCGGCAATACAAGGAGAACGAAAAAAACAAAAAGGGGAGGGGCGGAATTTCCCAGCGGGCGAAAAAGAAGGGTTAAAACCAACGAAAACGTCTTCGTTGCACCAGAAGGGGAGATAATGTGTGATTTGTCTAATTAAATCACCCAGTAGTTTGATTCACATCTTCAATTGGTCTGTAAGTTCCCCCCCCCCTCAACTCGTTTTTGAATTCCGTAGGTACGCCAAAGTAGAAAATTCCCGCTGTTATCTCGTTGAAACCGAAATGTCCAGATCGCACTCTCAGGGGGACCGAGGGTGTAGACTGATTGAACAAACCTTGAGTGCCAGCGCATCAACAATGAAACAAGTGTTAAACAACATCGTCTACACCAGTGGAATTGATACATTCCTTGCCTAATTCCCCCCGTCCTGTCTTTTTCTGGAGATCAATTGATTTGATCTATCCTCCTAACCCTCGTGTCTGCCAACAGAACTCCCCTTCCCTTTGCGTCTTTTTTGCCATCAAGCGCAACCGAAGCCAGGCCACAGCGCCATTGAGCTGGGCTTCCATCCATAGACATGTGGTATATTCGAAGCCATCGCTTGGGTGTGTCTACTTACCTCCGTCCATTTTATGTTGTTTTGTCTATATGTTTCTGTTCTTGTTTGGATTAGTTTCCTCCCGAGATGTGCTGGCAAAAAGGAAGGGGAAAAAGAGAGAAGAAATTTGGGAAAGGCGAAGCTTTGTCGATTTCCTCTGATTCTCTCCGAAACCGGTACCCGCACGCAGACACTTCACTTTCTCTGCCTTGTTCCATCTGGTGCGACTCGCCTGTGTTCAACGGAGCTATGCTCGGTGTTCAATGGTCGGTATATATTGAGCGTGGTGCTTGGCCACGGTTCGCCTTGTTGTGAATTGTAGAGCTTACACAGTTGTAGGTGTAACACACGGGTGTGGGGCGCTGGAAGGCGAGCCATCGTCGGTGGATCTAGGCTACGCCCGTTCTGCGGTGAATCGGCTTTATTACCTCACAGAAGCTTGGATATAAACACGAACCAAGGGTTGACGGGAGAATCCGTACAACCCTCGTGTCAAACAATACATCTACTAGCCATACCTCTACAGACCATCACCTCTTGAGTCAGAAACTACACCCACCTCACAGATACAGTAAGACGTATAACGCACACCCTCAAAGTGGAATGCCGCACTAATCAACGCCGTTACCCTACTGCCATACGTCTCAGAATCCCGTGTTTTCTTTTTTCAAAACCAACGGGAATTCCGATCGCGACGCGTCAGCCTGTGAGTTTTGCCTCGAATGCCCACGAGAACTTCGCTCCACAACGGGTTTCCCACAACGGGTTTCCCACGCCAGGTGTTTGTTGATAAAATTACAAACCCGTTGTGGGCAGAAGTAGCACAATTTTGGCCAATGGGATCCACGCGCTTTTGAAGTACAACAACAAAACTTGCAAGCCAGCAACGAAAAGAAGATAAAACTTTTTAGATACCGTCGCCTTATACACACAAAGCCGCCAACTAAACTGCTAGGACGTATAGACTGAAAGGTTATGGACGCGAGCATGGAGTCTAATATAGATCCTGCTATTGAATCTCAAGGTGGCATCTTCACAAAGTTCTCTCTCAACTCTGACTTCATCCAAGGGGAGAACAACTATATCAACATTGAAGGGGATGAAGAGGGCCATAACGGTGCAGGTTCTGGGCTTAAGGAACACGATGGCCATGGTGAGACAAACGTCACCACTGCCGCCGTGGTTGCTGCTGCTGCCGCTGCCGCTGCTGCTGCTAATATGTCCTCGATGATCCACTTCAACGGGATGGATGACAATGGATCAACACATTTGAGGGCGCGTGATAATTCGCATGGAAATGATGCCCTTGTACAACGACAGGGCTCGACGGATAACGGGAATGATCAGCAGCTGAGCTTCCTCCATAGCGCGTTAGAGATTGAGAATCAGGCCCGTCAACATTCGGATTCGTACCAGCAAAGAGAAGCTCAACACCCATCGCACCAGCATCACCATTTGGCGCTTCGCCGTGATTCAGAACCCAAACCTAAGCAGGTGTTGATACAGGATACCGATTCGAATATGAGCATCGTTGTGGTGGATCCAAGTGCGCAGGAGGGTGGTTCTAGGTTGGGTCGTCCTAGAAAGCACCAAGTGAACGCATCACCGAGCTCTGAACAATCATCCTCAAAGAACTACGAGGAGAGCATGGTTTCGAGATTTAGAGTCGATTCGAAGCCAATAACTGGACCTGGATCTAGAGGCGGTAGAAAGATCAAGCCGAAACCTTCAGTGGAAAAGAATGGGTATAAACAACCGGTATTTGCCAAACAAGGAGGTAAGCTCATTTTGGCAAAACGCCCAGAATCGCATCAACAGCTCCCTCCAATAGTTCCAAAGGTTAAACTTGCCATCAAAGATGTGAAATCATCAAACAAAGACAAAGCCGATGGTATAGAGACGAGTCCAATCGTCCTCGAAGATGTGGACTCTTTGAAGGCTAAGGGAAGGTCAACAGCTTCTGATAAGAAGCTACTTCAATCACAGATAGTTCCAAGGAAGCAGTTACTACCTATAGCGGCGAAGCCTGAATCTCACAAGGATTCAAAGGCGTTATCAGAAAAGATACTGCTACTAAAAACGATTCCAAAGGCAAAGGAGAAGTCATCTTCAAAGCTTAAAAGTCGAACCAAGAAGAAAAGAGACATCCCCGGACCAATTACTGGTGTTTCTTATGACATTTATGATCCAGAAATGTTGAAAGATGACGAGGGCTTATCGCATGAACAATTCATCGCCCTTGGTTATGAAGTGAAACCTTCTGATTATGCAAAAGATATAATAACAATCTTGTCATTCATCAACAAGTTTAAGAAATTCTTCAAATTTGCAAACTTGGGTCCTCAAGATATAGAAGAAGGCTTGAACCTTCCTCCTTCACTGCCTTACTCTTTGAGCAATGTTAACCAAAAAACTGTGGAATCACCAACATCTAACTCGAAGGATGAAATATCATATTCCATGAATCAGCTCTTTTTCAAGTTATTGTACCTTGTGCTGAATAAAAAGAAGGCCGTCAATGCATCCAATGTTTCGAAAATATTAGCTGAATTGAAAGAAAACTGTTTAATGTTTGGGTTGCCAAGCGAGTGGAGGGACGATGAAGGTGTATTCACCGAAGTGATGGTTGACGATTCTTTGAAAGATGATGAGAATGAAGAACCGTTAGATCCAGAACATCCAGAGGCTTTGGATACAATGCAGTACCATTTTGGTCTAACAAAACCATTAGAGTTCACACCCCTTGATGAGGAAAACTTTGAAACAGACGGATTAATGGCTTTGCAGCCCTTGGATAGACTTATCTTGTTGAGATCTTTAGTACAATGGTGTACTTCATATTCAGACTCCATCAGATCAGAAATCAGCAAACAGTTGGCAAGGCAAGACTCATCTGGAGATAAGGAAACATACTATATCCCCAGATATATCAAACAAGGTGAAAAGGGTATTGAGGATGCTAACGCCAATCTTAAATTGCATCCAAGGAAAAAGATTAAAAAGACGAATGATGATGAAAATACATTGGACCCGTACACGGATGCTTCAGCAAACCCTCTGGATCATCACATGTCTTTTAGAATTATGGACTTTTACGCAGGTGATGGTGGCTTAAGTGGTCGTTACTTCCTCTGCCGTTCATGTGATCCCGAAACTGGTGGGTTGGCATCGTTGGACGATATGAAAAAAGTGATCAACTCTCAAGCTTCTGTTACTGATATGTTGGGTTTGCCACAACCCTCAAGGTTCAAACTGTACGTACAAGATGTCACCAGCATGATAAAGTCAGTAACCAATGAAGTCAACGTCAGGGACCAGACCCAAACCGTGGACCCATGGTATGAAGTTGCATCTAACGTTTCTGAATTACGCCAATTCATTAATTTCCTTGAGAGTAAACTAGCAACTGCTGACTCAAAATTAGTTGAAACCAAGAGACTGAAGGATATGGTATACTATTTGACGAATATTGTACCTGTTCTTGAGAAGTTTGAGACCATCTACAACGAATACAAAGGAATAGCAGGTGGTCGTCAGTCAAGAAAGAGAGGACAGGTGACTGATTTGAAGGAGAATGATCTCAAGATGAAGAAAATGATTAAGCTCTCTGAGGATCCAGACGGGGACTTCTTGTATGCTGATGGTGAATTTGACGAGGATGATTTCGATGATGATGATGATGTTATGATATCTGAACCGGACGATGCTGATGACGACGATTATCAGGATTAATAATAATCGTGGTGGACTCTATACAAAAGTGCTTTATCATGTAAGACACGTTTATTAATCAATTAATGCTTCAACCTCTTGGTAATTTCCATATCCTTGTAAGGGATTTCTTTACGTCTTCTCTTCCTCTCCACGTCGTCGGTATTATCAATCGTTACTAGAAGATCCTCGTTGGCCAGCTTTGCATCTGTGAACTTTAGAGAATGAGCATAGATGTCCGTATCCGAATCATCTGAATCGTCAAGTTTATCAAAGTCGTCATCGTCTACAATGTACGGTGTTGTTTCTCTTTCCTCTTCGTGATGCTTCTTTGTCTTGATCTTCTCCTCAAATTGTCGTAATGTTCTCAGTGTATGTTCTTCTCTTTCCTCTACGTTAGGCTTTGATGATGATGTGGCAGAGTCTGTGGGAGGACAACATTCGTCAATGCTTTTTGCAGTGATCTCCGCTGGTAGTCCCTGTTCGTGATTGCCATTTTCAACATGTCCATTAGTTTCGTTTGTTATCGTGGTCTTTTCAACCGTGTCAATAGTCTCCTCTGGGATGAATTGTTCTTTGACCAACTTCTTATCATTCAGCACATCATGGGCACTTTTCATCTTCACATTAATCTGATATCCAACATCGCCTTCTTCATCTTCGTCTACACCAATCTGTAGTTTAACCTTTGCCTTCTTCTTCTTTTGCTGTTTCTGTTTGCTTGTTTTTGAAGGTAATGAACCAGTATCAACCACCTTCTCCTCAACTAGGTCATCGAAATACGGTATTAAAACTTCACACTTCGTGATCTTGACAGGGTAAAGAGGTGTTTCACCATCTTCACCAAGCTGTGCTTCGCTTATCTTCAACACTGAGAAGATGGAATCACCAACAACCTTTCCAAATGCCGTGTTCTTAGATTGTAATTCTGGTGTATCTCTCAGCGTTATGAAGAACTCACCTGTGTTGGTATTCCTCGATGACAAGTTCACACATCCAAGAATGCCACGTCTGTTGAATCTGATTCTAGTGTGGAATTCATCTTCAAATGGTTCTTGACTAAGAGTTCCATTGGCCTGAACAATGAAGTCCTTGACGATTCTGTTGAACTCCCAACCTCCAAACCTGTTGTTCAAAACGTTATTCAAAAACCTTCTCGATGTTATCGGTGTCTCTTTTGCCCATAATTCTATATCTATGGGACCTTTTGTAGTTGTTAAACGGACCTTTGCCGTTGTCTGTGGTTCTAACGACATGTTTTATGTTATCCCTACTCAAAATTACCCGAGTGTAGAGTTGTTTGAATTTTTTTTAGATCAACATTCAACAACAAAGCTCATATACAACCAAACCACATCTACAACCAAAGGAATATATAAATAACGTATTGGAATTCAATAAATAGATGTTGTGTGTGTTTTTCCTTATATAATGAAAATAAATAAAATAAATAACGGAAACAAGAGTTGTCATCTCCTTCAATCGGTCAAAGTGATAAAGGTCTTCTTAGCCTTAAGATCCTTTGCAGTTGGAGGCAAGTCTTGTTGGTGCATGTTATCTCTGAGGTAGAAAGTGTAACGGTACACCAAATCTTGCAAACGAGCTGGCTCTATACCCAAATCCTTGAAGCCCAATGCATTTGGATCGACAACTTGGTCATGATATTGTCTCTCCACCTGGTCTGGGTTCAACAATGGCCACCACACATATTGTAACAGCTCAGCGTACTTCAAAGCAACGGCCTTTGGAACGTTGACGTTTGTGTAGTGACGTTTGGTCACAGCTTCAATCAGCTGTCTAATCTCCTTGACTGAGAATCTCTCTGGTCCGTTGAGCTCGTACAGCTTACCGGTCGTGGAGTCATCAAAACCAATCTTCTCCAAGGCAGCAGCAACGTCCTGGACGTGGACTGGGAGCAAAGTTTCCTTCATGTGGTTAACTGTAAAGAGTCTAAACTGGTTACCCAACTCGTTCAAGAATCTGTCCTCTCTACCGTAAATCATACCTGGTCTAACAATGGTGGCGTCTGGGTACTCCTCCAAGACAGCCTCTTCACCGTATGCCTTTGTAGCGTAAAACACGGATGGGGAGTCCTTCTGGGCGTTGTATGCACTAACATGAACCAATCTTGGAACACCGTTCTCAGCGGCAGCACGGGCAATACGTCTGGCACCTTCAATGTTGACATCGGCCATGGAGAAGTTCTTGGTGTGCGCATCAACACCGACCAAGTTGTAAACGATGTCGCTCATTCTCACAGCTTCGTTTATGGACTCCAAGTTTCTCAGGTCAAACTCGACAAAGTTCACAACGCCCAAATCGCCTGGCACTTTGAGGAAACGCTTCTTCATGTCGTCCCTGAATGGCACCACTGTCACGGTACCGTTCTTGGCCAGTCTCGAGGTCAAATAGCTGCCCAAGAACCCAGAGGCCCCGAAAACAGTAGCAGTGTAACCGGTTCTGGAAGAACGACCATTGAGTCCGCTTGCAATCTTAACCTCTCCGCTTCTGGTGATGTTGATATCACTCTTCAACACGTGAGTGGACTGGCGTCTGACCTGTTGGAATGAGCGTCTCCACATGCTTTCACTTTTCCTGTTGTCTTTGTTGTTTTGATCTGGTGGGAAAAGGCTCCTTTATAGCTCGTCGTTGTAACAATTGTTGATTGTTTTTGTGGTTTTTCAGGGGGGCAGGTCTGGAAAGCTTTGCGAGGACGAGGAGAGGGAGAAAAAATTGTTATTGACACGGGGATGGGATGGCAGAAACCACCTGGACACCACGTTTGAATACTGGCCACGGCCGCGTGACACTATGTGTGGGCTCTGTTAAGAGTACTGTGCTGTTTCAATATTAGAGATGTATTATGGATATATATGATTAGAAAGGTCTATTAGAAGAATATTCTTATGATTTCCAAGACAGCACCACCACCGATCAAAAATGCCAGAAGAACTAGAATGGGGTGTCAGTAGAGCGATAGATAGGTAGATAAACAGGCAGAACGAGTTGCATGGTGGGGATGTTACACTTACTGATCCAGCCCGTGGAAACTGGTGATTCCTTCTTGGTCTTTGGCTTTGGCTTTCCCATCTGCTTCTCATGCTTCTTGTAGAACTTCTCGTTCGCGAGACGTTGCTTTGGTGTTTGAATGGCCTGTGACGGAGATGTTAGTACAACGGCTTCACTCTTGTATGTACGCATCTGTGTGAGCCGACAAGGGTTAACCTGACATCACACCGAGTAACATCAGCGAGTTTGGGGGTATCTTACCATTGTAGAGGGAGTGTGTTAGCCACTATGAGATGAGCTTTTCTGTGCAAAAGCTAGAAAGTGTCGTTGTTGTTCTCTTTGAGAAAATGTACCGATCTCGAAGATTTGGTTGACGTGGAGGTTTGTTGTGTAAAGCTGGCAAATAAACAATTCGCGAAAATCCAGTCGGAAATTTTCAAAGTTGACACGCACCTAAAAGACCAATTCCGATAACTTGGGAGAAGTGGTTTTTGTCCTCGTTGAGAAATTGGAAACGAGCTCACAACGGAAGGTTCTGATTGGGTAATCATCGATTGATGTAATTTAAATGGAAATTGTAGACGTGGAATTGACGTCTACCAACACAAGGGTTGTCGGTGGTTTTGCGTGTGGACATCGTGTACAAAACATTTCAAGCCCTTGTTTGATGAAGCCGATTTGAAAAAAAAAAATTAGCGTCTCCTGGTTTCGATCCAGGGACATCAGGGTTATGAGCCCTGCGCGCTTCCACTGCGCCAAGACGCTGCTTGTTGAAAGCCTCACGTATCTCATCCGTCTGACACTGTCTTCATGGTCAATGAATTAGAAACAAGAATGTGAAATAGCTTATGATTATCGGGAATTTCAGATCAAGAGAGATTTACAAATGCCTTTTTACATGCTAAAACGAGTATCAATACTGCAGAAGCCTTTCTTACTCTGGTTTAGGCGACGTTCATTCGATCTAAAGATCACGGGTGGTAAAATGTGATGTCCGGATGTTTGGGTTTTGTGAGTTAAACCTGTTCACCAAAGGTCCCCGAGCCAATGACCACAAGTATACAGGGATTCATGGGTTTTGTAGTTCCTGGTGTTGGAATTGTTTTAGTATAATGTTGATGCTGGAAGTTATAACAATTCAAATCGGATAATGAAATTTCAAAGTTGAATGGTTTTATTGGTAATAAAATGGTTTCTTTTGTTCTTTTCTGGCTGAGATAGTGAATCAGAAAATCATCAATAATCTGTGTTTTAAAAATATAATGTATAACCTCTAAAGAGAAATTTAAATGAAGGAAGAATTGAATCTGAGTTATTATAAAATCAATAGCACAAGTATTGAATCACTTTCAAATAATCACTTATATTTATAACTAATGGTATCTAGAACTTGAGATGAGCCCATATTCCCACATGAAATGATGAACTACGCAGTTGTTTTCTTGTTAAAGACACCCTAAAGGTGGACTAGGTACATCGGTATGAATAATCGCATGACCAAGCTCGTTTTTTGGGGGTCTTTCCACGAATCATCATCCATGATAGATTCGCCAAAAGTCTGGTTCTAGCTCAGATAGTTTCTGTCCATGTGCGAGATTACTATACAGCCTACCAGTCTATCTTGTGACTGTAAAGCTGACCGTTTCTCTGTTAAGAGTTAAAGTTTACAACTCTTCATAAACAAACTATCAGCATACTCCAATCCAAAAACGTGTATTAATCCGATTTATTACTTTTGCTGAGCTACATATCTCGAATGACCATCGTTGAACATGATGATAATTAGGCTTGACTCTTTTCAACATAAAACACCTTCAGGAAAATTACAGACATAAATACAGTGAGACAGGCATCAAGATATATCTTATGCTCACTTCTGAACGTCTGCGTGAACTGAAAAAATCAATATTCATATAATTCCATTTTCAAACCAACTGCATGTCTCTTATCTTTACGTCGGATGATATCAATAATAGTGCTAGTAAATAACCAATCCTCACCTTTTAAAAACCACACGTTTCATAATAAGTTGCCTACATAAATCAGTGGATTCTAATCTATTACGAAATAATGAACCGTGGAAAACAGCTACTCCGTTGCGAAAGGAGTTACACGGCATCAGTTACGCAAGTTTCCATAAGTGTTATCCTGCTTTATATTTTGGGTGTATTGCCAGTAAAGCTAAAGACGTTTGAGTCGGACACTTTTGTAACTTTTCATGACGTGTACTACTGTAACTGTATGAGCTCATTGTGACTTCTGGATCATTAGAAATGCGTTTATGGTTTGAGATCATAATCAATTAGCTTTTGATGTCCGACCGTTGAGTTTTCTGCATGTAGGGAAACGCATGTAATATAACTTTAAAGGATAAAATTTTTTCCACCAATTTTTTGTTTAAAGTTTGTGCCAAAAGTCAGAGACGTTGAGAATTCTACGAACAGATCAACACCTTTGACACTAGAACCCGATCTACGAAAGAAAACTTTGAAGCTGTTTAGGGATTATGAGATGAAAATGCATTTTTCAAACCATATCTGCTTCTGCATGCGCGTGGTTACTTTTGGAAACATTAGTATTCATCATTTGTAAGAGCTTTAATTGATGACGAATGGAGCGGTAGAAAGAAATACCAATACATAAATCACTAGTATCTAAACACCGAATGTGTACAACCGAGGATAAGGCTCCAACATGTTACTGCATTCCACTCTACTGAACGGACGTATCGTATAGAATTCAAATCTGGGACCATGAAGGAGATGTGTTCCTCGCACGACGAATATGATTCACGCTTTTGAGTACATACTTGAAGCATCGTTCATGTTACACTTATCTTGTGCATTAGTGTACAGAGTCTAGAATTCATGAGTACGAACCTTTTTCTTCGGAAAAGTTGAAAAAGAAAGACATCTCAACAGTCACTATGTTTGTCGACAATCACCATCTGTTGATTAGTGTGTCGCCTTGTTCTATCGAACTATCTGCGCTTCAAGGAATCATCTTCGGAGAACTCTATTAGTAGAGAGCATATATCTATTCAAAACCCTAGATTCAGGTCATGTAGCCAAAGTTAAAATATCCGGGTGTTTTATGAAATAGAGCTCGAATGAGTAATACACACTATAGGAGTGCATTGAGTTTAACCGTTTTTATGCAATTCTTAGTTCACGCAGTTTTAGATGACGTAGCCCATATAACCCAAAAAGGTTCGCTTAAAAGTTCACTGTTTCAGATACTAGATCAATCAGGTTGATTTGTCGACTTTTATTCACACGAATATACATAGAAGTACTGTTAAATTGGACAGTCAAACCATACCATATGCACGATTTTTGTTTGATGAGGTGGTGATGGATCCTCACAGCGACAAAAAATATGTATCAAGTTAAAAAGAGATCAATTCTAAATTACTTTACGAAACTCGGCCAGTAAGAGCTGGAATCTAAAGAAGAAGCCAGGATATAAGATGTGCCTTTAAAACCACTGTTCAGTTCAATACGCAGATAGAATGCATCAGGACCTCCTATCAAATAAAGAGTTTTCACACTTTGAAAATTCAAGACAGCAGAAGGAGGATAGTGCAAGCCAAATGAGATGCTAAATGACGTAGTGAGAGCTCATACCACCATGGTGCTCTTCAAGCCTTGCACCTTCTTCATTTGTGCCATTTAATAGACTAGGTTCCACTTGAACTGTAAGTTTCCCCTGATATGTAGTGGCATGTGCATCAAGTCAAGTGCTAAAGCCTAACATATCAGATACATCAGAGTCCAGAACATGAAGTTCCAATCTTCGCTCTGGCTTTGGTTCTGTTTGGCGAACATGGCATGTATGTCATGTAGGAATACTAGTCATAGGCTTGATTAGTGGGAAGCCCCCATACCCAGCTCGTAGTGGAGGGATTTTAGAGAAACAGTCAGGAAATGACTAACGCCTAGTATCTTCTAAGCCCATATAACATCACCCCAGCCTCCACATATGAGAAGCCCTGGTCACCATCAGACAAGCATAAGGGGCTTCTTCAGAAGCCTTCTACGAAGGAATACACACCCCGGTGATTTTACGTATTCTTGTAGTGAAGATTCTACGGGGAAAGCGGCGCTCAGACATCGAGAGGTCTAGACGTTCTTCTACACCATCTGTGTGATCTACGAAATGTTACCAAGGTAGTATGCATTCCAATAGCTACAAGCCCAGACCGATATGTGCTGGAAAAAACACACACACATGAAAAAAAGAGAAACAAGAAGCCGTCGGGAATTGCACCACCACTCTGTATTCAACAGCTACTAAGTTGATCAAATTGATCATATCATGGATCCACGAGCTGACGCACGGTCTAGAGCACCTCGAAAGTAAGATAATGATGGTTATTTCCCTTTAGAGGCAACACATTAACCAGAGGTGAGTCAACTGTTGTTTTGCCTGATGGTGCGATAACCCAGGCTTTGTGCAAAATGGGGCTGGCAATCACATTTTCGTTTTGGTTTTTCCTGCGAGGCCTTTTTGGTTGTCCCCTTCGTAACTACAGAAACCGTATATTTTACCAAGCCGCAAAAGCCCAATTTCCACAGAAACTGTGCAAGGTGCGGGAATCACCAAGCCTCTCCCATAGCGTGTCCTTCCAGATTCGGAAATTAAGGTTAATATTCGGCAACAAAAAACGCAGAGTGCTGCACAGGTATGCATTACGCGTTTGGGATGTTCATAGATTTGTGTGTCGGGCGGGATGGTTGGCAAGGCAAATGAAACAAAATTTATGCAAACTGCCCAGGCGCCAGAATATAAAACATCAACAGTCCCCCTACACGCAATTTTTCGAGCCTTTGGGAGGATCTTTTCCTTGTTTACACCCCCCTTACGATTTTGAAACGAAGTTACGTGTTTGAAAACCCGACCCTCATTTCTTAGATCTCACTCTTATTCACTCCTTTATATCTATCAAGAGAGAGACTGTCCATTCCCTTCCCTATTATATTGTCAATTGCTGCTTCACTCACGTTGTTTACTTTGATCCCGTTGCTTTATTGAATTTGCTCCCTATTGGTCTTACGCTCTTTAAACAATGAGATTTTCAACAGCAGTTCTTGTGTCGATTTTCACGGCCATCACTGCTTCTGCAAGTTGTTCTTATGAAGGTGGAAACTACTTCTGTAGCAACGTCGACGCCATTACCTATGAGAATGTCGGATATTCTGGTACATACAAGGATGTTACCAACATGGATGAAACCACATGTCAATGTTCTCAAGAAAGTGTTTCATTCTCAGGTTCTAACTCACCATTGGATGAGCAGCTCTCCGTGCATTTCAGAGGCCCTCTGAGACTTTTGCAGTTTGGTTTCTACTCTCCATCTTCCACCTCTTCAAAGAAGAAGAGAGATTTGGTTGAAGAGGACTGTTCAACCACAAAGCATATTCACCATGCCCACAAGAGAGAACCAGCCACCCAGATTGTTGCAGTCACCGAGACTGTCTATGTCAATGCTGATGGTGAAGTCGTTACTCAGAACACTCAGGCCACATCTCAGCAAACTACCACAACGTTGATTGGTGGCACTGCTGCTGGCACAGCTTCTAGCCAAAACACAGCAAACACAGCAAACACAGTGAGTACTGTGAACACCAACACTGCCACTACTGCTTCTCCAACAACCACTGGCACCACTTCTACTTCTTCCACTTCTTCCACTAGTGCTACTGCCACTTCCACCGCTGGTACCGACTCAGCTTGGGTCAGATCCTCCTACTACACTCCTGGTAGTACCGACAACTGTGTTTTCTTGAACACTCTTGGTGGTTCCTCCTCAGGTGTCTTCTCCACATGTTTCGGTAACTCTTTATCTTATTGTTCCGCTGACGGTTCAAGTGCAGCTTCTTCCGCACAAGCATTGAATGATGTTTTGCTTACTTCTGACCAAGAGTATGCTATCTTTTCAGGTGAAGCCTGTTCGGGTTCCTCATGTGGTTATTACAGATCTGGTATTCCAGCATACGAAGGATTCGGAGGTTCCGAGAAGATCTTTGTCTTTGAATTTGAAATGCCTCATGAGGATGGTGCATCTGGTTCTAACCCAGATATGCCAGCTATCTGGTTGTTGAATGCTAAGATTCCAAGAACTTTGCAATACGGTGATGCCACTTGTTCATGTTGGTCCACTGGCTGTGGTGAGCTCGATCTGTTCGAAGTCTTGCTTGAGGGTGATGAGAGATTGATTTCTCATTTGCACGATGGTCAAGGTAATGATGGTACCTCTTACGGTGGTGGTGGTTCCCAAGATTACTTCACCAGACCAACTTCTGGATCCATGAAGGGTGCCGTAATTTTCTCCGGTTCTAGCATTACCCTTGTTAAACTCGACGATTCAACCACTTTCGGATCTGGTCTCTCTGCTGACACAGTCAACGAATGGTTAGCCACAGAGGGTGCTGTTGCCCAATTGGTTTAAATTAAGGACGAGCAAATAAAGGTTTAATGGTTTAGTTGTGATTGTATATTAGACAGATTATTATATATTAAAAGGTACTTTTGTTTTATTATGTTATTTGACAATCCGCCCATGTAGCCGAATTTTCAACGAGGCGCAGCCCAAAAAATAACAGCCTGAAGAACTTTTACACGGAGCGGAGTTCAGCATCAGATATATTCATCTAAATCTACAACAAAATGGTGATTTCAAAAAAGGAACATGTTGCACAGATTGTTCGTTATATATATGTAGATACATTGTTCAACACCGTTAAGTTTCCCACGGACTATTATAAGCATGGTTGCTCAAGTAAACGATTGACAGTGAAGATCTTAACGTCGGGTCATGGCGTCATTAAAAAAAAAGTATCAGCTTCTTTTGATTCGTGTTCGATATTACTCGAACGATGCAGTTGTAGTATGGTTTGTAGACAGGACACAGCAAGTGGGCGAGTGTATAACCACGGAACTAAACACCTTCGGTCTTCAATTTCAAAGCCTGTTCTTGTGGTTTTTGCAACTCATACCCTGTCAGATTTGAATTCTTTCTATTTCTTCTAGCCTGACTCTTTCTGGAGTGTTTTTTCCAGAGCGTCGTGACAAAGTTGTTTTTGTAACCTCCATTGATGAGCCAGAGGTAAAGTCTGTACTCACCATACAGCAACACGGCAGCAATGGCGAACCCACCTAGAACGGCAAGACCGATGTGTCTGCCGAGTCCCTTGATGAAGTTTGCATCACCCAAGTGCCAAGAAGATCCCTCCAAGATGGAGAAGAAGGAGTTTGTATGCTTTTTGTAATCCTCTGGGAACATAATTTTCACTGCTGCAGAGGCAGGAACTTGCACCCAACGTCTATAGCGTTTCCAAATGACAGAGAGGAACAAAGGCCCAGTGGTGTACATGATGGTCAAGTAAGGTATGAGGTAGTTCATATGATACTTTTGGAGGTTATCAACCACTTTCAAAAAGAAAGGATGCTTTGGCACTGCCCCCATGACATCATTTGAGATACCCGTTGGGATCGTCTTTCTGACAAACGCTGGAACCGTCAATAGCGGGTCCAAACGTCTCTCACAGGCAACGTCAAGGTCGATGTACACACCGCCGTAGTGGATGAGGGCAAAGTATCTGATCACATCGGCACGCTGGATGTTGTACTTGTACCCGTCAAAGGTTTCCAAGAACCAAGGGTACTGTTCCGAGATGAAATCTCTCGCCATTTCATCGGTCCAGAGGATGTACTGATAGTCTGGGTGCAAGTTGATACACTTCTGTTGACCAGGGAGCCATTTCTCAGGGATATTCGTGTCCTTATACGTCTGATGTATTATCTTTGGGATAAGCTGTGGCTTTGGTGGTGTGCCCTTTGGCGGGTTCAGATCCAAGTCAGTCAGTTGATCTGCAAACGAATCGTCGTAGATGAGGGTCAACAAATCGAAAACGTTATAGAGCAAGATCAACGCCACAATGACGTGGGCCCAAAGCATAAACAAGAGCTCTCTTCTCATGATTGGCGAGACAGCAAAGCTATAGGTTCACTCTGGAAGGACTCACAAAGCCGTAACGCACACGGGAACGGTCAAAGTGGATGTAGGAAAATAGGGGGAAAACCAACCAACCAATGGACTTGAAAAAGCTCTGGCAGGTGATTCTGAACTGGACTGCCTTTAATGTTATCCTTTTCTTCAGTCTGGAGATCCTCCGTCGCCCTCTGTCTGATAACAACGAAGTGATTGAATTAGAGGAGGTTTGTGTTTGGAGCGAGAATACACAACAAATGCAAAACCGAAAAGAAAAGGCGAAGCGGAAAAGAAAACAAAAATTAAAACACGCGAGCGTAAATTTGTGATTTTATTTGTTTTTCTTTTACGTGTGGGTGGAAGGGGGAATTTAGGGAGATTTATAAGGATAAACAAGCAGGCAAAGCAAGAAAAAAGAAAGGGGGAGGGAAAAATGGGCGACGACCAGCACGCGCGAAATTTTGGGAGAAAAACAACCAAAAAGACGTTACCGCGGATGGAATTTTTCCTTACGCAGAAGCGTGTGGCCCAGTGAGAGAGGCAGGGGGGCCCATTTGCTTTTGAAGGGGATTTGGGAGCGAGAGAGAGGGAGGTGGAGCAGCAGCGCAACAGAAAATTGTTCGAGCGAAGAACAACGGAAAAAAAAGAAATGTTTCCGGGACAACACAAATTTGCTAAGACGGTGATGGAGTGACGGTGAAAAAAAGGAAGAGAGAGCAAAAAGGGGTAAAAAGCAGTAAAGAAACCCGTCTTGTGTAGAATCGGGATACGCACTGTGACGTTTGATTTGTCCGCTTTGGTAAGTGTTGCAAGGGAAGTGAAAAAAACAGAGACTGAACATACAGAACTTACAACAAGGGTGGGAAACCAATATTTGGGATTTGGGTATCTCCAGAGTGGTTGTTAGTTATGCTAAGTATAGAACAGACACATTCTCTGTGTCAGCCACCGATATGTTTCAACAGGCGCTGAGAACCTATGACGCGGTGTGTTTGTATTGGTCTGTGGCTTATGCATGCTATTTAAAACTGTGGGTTGTGTGGGCAAGTAGAAACCGAGCGCAGGTGCTCTCGGGGACAATTGGCTGGTATTTTTCAAGCAAGAGAGGAGTTTTGAGCTTTAGGTGGGTATATTGAATTGACTTCGAAACTGTTAGAAGGCGGAGTAGAGATCGCTGCTGATGACCGTGCGTACAACACTGTGAACAGCAACTATGAGACACGAGCTCGCTGAGAGTAACAAGCTGAGATTATCTTACAGATGACGTTACAGAGCGACATCCCGTCCCCTATTCCTAAAACGCTTGAGAAATTGGGGAGGGCAAGAGAGACTGATGATTGTGTAGGACTCAGCCGGTGAAGTACACAGTATAACGTGCTCTGTGTATGACACAGACCATAGACTCCGCCTCCTTATGATGTTCCCAACTTCCACACATGCATATGTGCATGCTGATAGTGTTACCTACGGCCTCTGTATACAGTTTAGCGTTTAGCCGTTGATATACAGATACGGTTTGTGAACTTTGACCCCCCTCCCCCATGGTTGACTTGACGTTGTGACACATGGGCAAAGTTGTGCCGGAGGGCGCAAGTTTCAAATTTGAGAACAAATCACTTGCTAACGAGCCATGGAGTAAGGTTTCCTTGATCGTCCCTATCGGTTAACCTAAATGTCATGATACGATGCCCACTGTTAACTTCGTGTTTTAGATCATTCTCGAAACCCGGTTTACGACATCTCCGGTGCTGTCGTCCAACCAGGATCAACTGACTCTTTTCCTACACTGAACTACCTGCCTCATCTGTTTGTCTCCATAACGCCACCACCAAAGCGTAAACGCAAAAACACATCTGATTTGGAACTATCCAACCAGAAAACAGTACTCCACGTCACCAAACCACTCACTACTCACAGCACCGCCCAGTGCCCAGGATTATTCCGCAAATGTGCCTCTGCCACCTCTCATACTGGCACTTGCGATGCAAAAGAAAAGACAAACACTAAAATGCTCTCTTTTCCTTCACTGCAGTTACCCCTAAACTGCTGCGCATACCGATGCAGTGGTCCTTGGGTAAGAAGTTTCCAAATTGGGTAATCAGTAGTGTTTCGGTCTTACAGACCGGGATATCGGTACGCGCAGCACCATGGATCAACGCTTGCTCTGCTGACGACGGTTTGTTTACTTTTCGTTCTTGTGTCAGTGTTTTGGAGCTGACTGATGCCTTCTTTGGGTAGCGCATGTCCAGGGTTCGAACTGTTTTCTACAGACGAAATGAAAGGTACAGTACGAAAGGTACAGCCTTCCATCTCACAGTTCTTCAGTCCGAGCAGGAAGAGACAACAGACCAGACCAACATCATCTTCAAATGACGATGTTACTGTTGTAGTTTTAGATGATGATGAGGGAAAATCAGACGTTGCTGAAACGGTTGTTGCTGAAACGGTTATTGCTAAAACAGCGGTTGACAAAGCATGCAATGTAGATCAAACAGATAGAGTACGAAGATTCGGATATGACAAGGCATACACTGGAAAGGAACCATCAAAGGAAGTAACTGCTGTACGTGAACGATTTAGAAAAACTTTAAGCCAGCGTGTATTTGATCGTCAAAGCTCGAAAATGGATGAAGATGGTGATGAGATAGACGACGAGGATAATGATTCATTTCCAGTACAACCAGCTACTAAGAGAACGAAGAAATCAAAGCTGACACCACTCGATGAACAAGTGAAGGAATTGAAATTACAGCATATGGACAAAGTGCTCGCTATCCAGGTTGGTTACAAGTACAAGTTTTTCTGTCAAGATGCTGTGAGGGTTCACAAGATCTTGAACATTATGCTCGTCCCAGGGAAGTTAAACTTGATTAATGAAACGGCAGCTGATATGCTATATCATAAACTGGCATACTGCTCCATCCCAGAAAACAGACTCCATATTCATCTACAGAGGTTGTTGGATAAAGGGTTAAAAGTTGGCATTGTTGATCAGGCAGAGGCAAGTGCAGTGAAGACCTTGGATGACTCAAGACCAGCTTCATCATTGTTCAAGCGGAAATTGTCGAAAGTTTTCACAAAGGCAACATATATCGAATACGATGAAAAGAACTCGGGAGTGAAAGATGACCGTGCAGTGGATTCTCTAATGTCCATTATAGAGCATAACTCATCTGATGGTAAACTACACATAACAATTGTCACTGTACAACCTTTAACTGGCGAGATTATTTACGATGAATTTGAAGCAGACTTTCTCAGAAATGAACTCAACACCAGGTTACATCATTTGGAGCCAATAGAGATACTGTATTTTGAGGATTCATTATCTGAATTGACAATTCAGACACTGGATGCTTTTGTTCGTCAGAACTCATCGACAAATATCAGAAAAACAACATTCCCATTACTGAAGAAAACGTACTACGATGTTTACATGAACAACTATGTATCACAGTGGCCTCAACTGTTTGATTTCATGTCGTCAAAGTCGCCACAGTTCCAAATTGCAACTGCATTACTACTTGATTATTTGAGAGAGTTTGACCTTGATGCTGCTTTCCACATTGAAGAGAACTATAAGAACTTTCAAGATCATACGCACATGAAATTGAATGCCTTAACACTACAGAATTTGGAATTATTCCAAAACTCAACAAATGGAGAAGAGTATGGGAGTCTTTTATGGTTGATGAACCATACTCGTACCAAGTTCGGGTTTCGTCTTTTGAGAAAATGGATCTCCCAACCGTTAGTTCAGAGGGAACAGATAGAACAAAGACTAGATGCCATTGGAAATATCCACGATTCCTATAATCACTTTTTGGAAAGTTTTGCTTCCCTGTTGAAGAATTGTCCTGATTTAGAAAAGATCCTGAACCGCATACACTACGGCAAAGTTGGACATAAGGAACTCTACGTTTTCTTGAACAAACTCAACGAATTCAACAATTTGATAACCAAGTTTGGAAGGTTTGATATTTTGACAGGTTTACACTCCCCGTTGTTAAAAACATTGTTCAGCAACATGATCCAACTATGCTTGGACTTGGAAATAAACCAAGTTCTGAACATGATACACTCACCAAGTGCGCTATCAGAGGATCCTGATGAGCGTATATTGACATATTTTGTTTTGGAAAATTTAACAATAAACCATGATTCAGTGCTTCAAGAGCAGGCTGAAATCAAGAACATTGAGAAATCTTTTGAACAAGAGTTGAAGGACTGCAGCACAATTCTCAAGAAGCCTCACCTTCAATACGTGACCAAGTCAAAAGAGCCATATCTAATTGAGGTTCACAATGCAAATCTCAAGAAAGTACCAAAAGAGTGGATCAAAATTTCATCCACCAAGCTGGTATCAAGATTCAGAACACCAACCACAAACAAGCTTTACAAAGAACAGCTTTACCACAGAGAGCTCTATAAGCAGGCATGCTGCGATGTTTTTGACGAATTCACCTCTGAAGTTGACAGACACTATACCCAGCTTTCCAAATTTATACGCTGCCTTTCTGAGTATGACTGCATACTCTCTCTTGCAGCAACATCATCCGTAACCGGGTTCACCAAGCCAGTGTTTGTCGATGAAAGAATCGTCCGTATTCATCAGGGACGGAACCCCATCGTGGAACATTTCTCTAATTTTGTTTCTAATTCTACAAACCTGTCCCCTCAATGTCAATGCTCTATAGTAACAGGGCCAAACATGGGTGGTAAATCGTCTTATGTCAAACAGATTGCATTGATCATTATAATGGCACAGATTGGATGCTATGTCCCTGCAGAATCTTCCACGTTAGGCATTTTCAGCACCATACTAACAAGAATGGGTGCCCAAGACGATTTACTGAAGGGAGAGAGTACCTTTTTCACTGAGATGTCTCAAATGATGAGTATCCTGAATGAAATGTCCGTGAAAGGCAACAAGCTGGTGATACTTGACGAACTGGGTCGTGGAACAGGAACGGCAGATGGTATTGCTTTAGCAGAAGCTATACTGGAGTACATCCTCCAAGAGGAGAATGATACGTTGACACTCTTCATTACACATTTCCCCAGCATTTGTAAATTGAGTGAAAAGTACTCAGGCGTTCAGAATTTTCACATGGGCTATATCGAAGAAAGATCGAAAGAAGGCGACTGGCCAAAGGTTACCTTTTTGTATAATTTAGTGGAAGGTATGGCCAAGAATTCGTATGGACTTAATGTTGCAAAGCTTGCTGGTGTTGACGATGTATTAATTCAAAGGGCTTTCGAGATAAGTGAGACTCGTCGGGTCCAAGTCGAGCAACATCAATCATTCAAGGAAACGCTAGCAGTAAGAGATGAATTTCAAAGAGTAACACAAGGAGAGGGTGAGTTGAAGAGTGTCATGAGACTCAAGAAGTACATCGACGAGTGTTGATTACAAGTGATTGAAGTGATAATTGTGAATTGTCATGCAAGCGATATAAGTATATAGTTAGAAAAGAGAGATCCTTCTGTTTTTTTTGTTCTTCAGTTAATTTAAGACTTTGTAGAACGAAACAAGCTTTTGCTGTTTGTTCTAAACCTATTGTTAGCTCCTGTTGAAGTATAGCTAATACTTCCATATGAGTTTCCTGCACCGTACAAAACAGCCTCATCTTCGTAATTGTTTCCATCATGGATTAGGGTCATTGAATCGAATCCTTCAAATGGGTTATTTTCATCAGCCTCCGGCTCAATGCTTTCCTCTTTGGAAATATCGATCGATGATGATGTTTTATTCTTGTTTCTGTGGAAATCAGCGCCTGTCTTCGATAAAACAGGGATCATTGGAGGCGATTGATTTCTCAACAGTGCCCATTGTACGTTTTTGAAGAACGGGTGATTCTTGATGTCAGATGCCCCCAATTTAGAACCCAATCTCTTGTTTTCATCTTTGATTAGAAGCTTTTTGATGAGGTTCTTGCACTGCGATGTTATATGCTGAGAGTCTGGGAAAACAATATCCGATTTCAGAATATTCGAGAATGTTTGATTACGGTTTGCACCTTTGAACGGAGTCGTTCCGAAAAGCATCTCGTAGATCAAGATACCCAAGGTCCACCAGTCAACTGCTGCTGTATGACCAGTCCCCCTAATAACTTCCGGAGCAATGTACTCTTCAGTACCGACAAATGAGTTTGTTCTGAATCCATCAATGCATGCTTTGGTATCCAAAGTCATCAAGGTTTTATTTGTTGCGTTGGCTGTAGACATTGATGGATTCTTCATGCTTCTTGTCTGTTTGGACAAGTCAAAATCTGAAAGCATAATATGTCCTGACTGATGCAGTAGGATATTCTCTGGTTTCAGATCTCTATAAATGAATCCCATGAGGTGTAGATATTCCAGTGCAGCAGTCACCTCGGCAGCGTAGAATCTTGCATCCTGTTCAGATATGCATTTAGTCTTTCTCGTCTGTAAGGCCCTGAAGAACTCACCACCCATACAGTACTCCATACACAGGTAGAGATAGTCCTCAGATTGGAACGTATGGTATAATGTGACGATGAACGGATGGTTCGAAGTTGCCAAAATCTCTTGTTCAGCCAAGGCCCTCTTGATCTTGTTTCTCTGGATCATCTCCTTCTTACTCAACACCTTCATAGCGTATAGCCTGTTTGTTGCCTTCTCACGCACGAGGTAAACCCTTCCAAAATCACCTTTTCCCAATGGCCTTATCTTCTCAAAAGACTGTGGACCAACTTGAACATCTGCAACTTTGATAGCATTGGAGCTGATGAAAGACTTGTTTCGAGGTCTTCTACTTTCAGAGATCTCACCGAGTTTCTTCTGTTGATCGTGTGCCTCCTTCAAGTTGAACGGAGCGGATGCTACTCTTCTCAATATTGGTTTTGTAGGCGGTGATGCCATATCAATCCCAGACTGGCCCTGGTGGCCCTGCGCTTGTCCTTGCTCTTGCTCTTGATGCTGATTCTGTCGTTCCTGTCCATGGCGCTCCTCTTTTATCTGGTTCAGCGATGATTTAGAGCTTCCATGTGTCTTCTTCAGCGACAGATTTTGTCCTTCATACTGATGTTGGTCTCCCTCGGCGTGTGGAGGTAGACCTTGATGTGCAAAGTATGGCTGGGCTGATACGGTATTCTTCTTTTGGTTCCCGTGCTGTTGCTTTTGGTTATGACCCTGTGCTGCCGGGTCCAGCTTAGACGGCGGGTTCGGAGAGGAAGGAGAGCGCATTCTCGAGAAGAACGAACTCCTCTGCTGCGGTTGCGGAGGTTGTTGAAATGAAGCCTGTTCACTCACATCCTCCGACGACTGTGGCTGTGACACCTCGATCGTCGGGCAATCTTGCTGGTACTGTGGGTGGTCATATGTCTTGGATGGCGGTTCCAGTTCAAAGCCATCGTCCTCACAGTCCTCAACCTTTGTGTCCTTGGAGGCAATCACCGGCGAGCTGCTGGCACTTCTCTTGAACAAGCTCTTCAGCTTCGTGGTTAGGGTCTTTTGCTCTTCTTCCTTTAGTGGCTCCACGTTGACGTTCAGATGCTGGTGGATGATAACGGCTTCTGGTTGCTGTGTGAAATAGCCATCCGTTCCGCCGTTGTTACTCTGCGATGCCTGCTGATCTGGGGTCTCCGCAGTAGGCGTACCGCTTCTCGAGAATTGGCTGGTACTGTTGCCATTCCCATTGCCAAAATTGAAGATCTTCCCGAGAGACATCGATCGAGTTCTCAGCCTCGACGTGCTCTTCTCCTCTGTCTGCGCAGCCATGGTGTTGATGTGGACGTGACGTGGATTTAGGTGGTGTGTCTGCCTGCGTCCTTGTTCAGCTGTATACGCTGGGTACTAATTCGAGTCCGGATCACAATGAATTCGGGTAGAGCTGGACTGTAATGATCACCTGAGATGAGGGAGGGGGACACTTAGCTCTCAATATCCAGCGTCGAAGTTTATGGATGCTCTTGCACTTCTTTTCGCAATCAATGCTCCGTGCACTGTCCTGCCCGCTAGTCTCGTCTCGTGTTGGCTTGGTTTGGGTTTGTCGAACTTTTGGATCCCCCTTCGCTTTTACGCGATGAATTAGGGGCCGTTCGTTGCGGACCACACAGGCGGACACTTTTAGCTTGCTTTGGGGGTCTTCGTCTCGAGAGTCCTCTTTGCAAGAGCAGCGTAGGGCATGGGCTAAGGACCTTGAATTAGTGGGAAATATTCTCTATACCGGTGATTCTGGTTAGTAAGGAGCAAATGTGAGGGAAACCGGACAATTGGTGCTGAGTACACTGCTCAACGCTGTTCTTTAGATTCAAGGCGGAGAAACCGAAGTACCCAGACCGGAGAAAGCGATCGGTGCAGGTAATACACCTTAGAGGTGGCTTGCGAAGAGGAACACAGGGAGAGGGGGCTGAAATCACGTCAATTGGGAAGATGCTGTTCAGCTGATGGACTCAGCTCCTGGACAGAGCTCCTGGGGTCGCCACACACAGGACACAACACTCACTGCTCTCGACACAGTGGTGAGTGTATCACCGATGTTTCACAGTTGTAAGGTGGGCGTGGCCCTGGCCGATTTGGAGCCTGCGGGTTGACGCTTCCATGCAAGGTACTCACATAGATTGCATCGAATGTCTCCATTATAAATGTCCAATTCAGACATGTACCAGCTGTTAGGAGCTCCTCTTGTCGAGTACTTGTGTCATAATGGTTTCAATCAGGGAAGACGGGGACTGGTGATAGTGTATTTAAGTGATTGCAGAGCCACAGGTGGTCTGAAGCTGGGTTGTATAGCTCTGCACATCGTCGCAGCTCTGCAATGAGAATCCATTCACTTTTGGCGTGCTCATCGCTCGTCATGTTCTCGATAGCTTCTACAATTGACGAGATCTATTCAAACGTGTCTCAATCTACTGAACTGATGGCAGATGGTGTTGGATTTCTCTATAATGCCGGAACTGCAACAGCTCTCAATTCAACAGCCTTGGACAATGCCAACTCTCATGATAGCTCTCAATGGCACACGTACACAATTGCAGCAGGAGGAATACCAGTTACATCGGAAGCAGAAACAACACCTTTACAAGCCAATACCACGACCGTGGAGTCATTTGAAACAACAGTTGTTACGACTACATTCTGTGGTGAACACTCTTGTACCGAGACAACAACCACAGCAATGGTAACAACTATCACCACCACTTCTGGAGGTGTGGTTACTGTCTTTACCACGTATTGCCCAACGGAATCTGCAAGCACAGAGAAGTCATCAATGTCTGAGTTCTTGACTTCAGAAATCGATACAAGCACAAGCTCAGCTTCAAGTCCAGAGCCATTAGAAACAACTGTCATCACCACTACGGTTTGTGATCAGGTGTCTTGCGTTGGCTCAACGACAACAGCACAAATCACAACAGTTACTACAACATCTGCTGGTATCATCACTGTTTACACTACCTATTGTCCGTTAACAACAACGACTCCTCTCTCGAATATTGAATCGTTCCCTGAAACGGCCGAACCATCATCTGAATCATCGTATCCATTAGTTCAGGTTGAACAATCAACTACACCATTGTCTACCTCTTCTGAATCACCTCAGGAAACTACACTCATTTCGACAACTGTTTGCAATGAAGGCTCTTGCATGGATACAACAACGCTTGCAATTGTATCCACAGTGACCTCTACATCAAATGGAATTGTCACAATCTACACAACGTATTGTCCATTAACAGAAACTGAAATTACCGAGACTGATAGCTCAACAGTTTCTGTACCTCCTATTGAGACAACCATTGTTACAACAACGCACTGTAATGAGGAACAATGTGTGGAGTCCATCACCACTGCACAGGTCACAACGGTCACTACGACATCTCAGGGCATTGTGACAGTATACACCACGTATTGTCCTTTGACCAAGACCACTATTGAAACAGGTACAGAGTCTGTCACCACTACTTCATTCAGTGGTGCAACAACTTCGAGTTCTTCTTCAATAAATGTGTCTCAGTCGTCCTCAGTTACCTCGCTTTCACCTGACAAGCCCTCCGAAACTACCGTGCTTACAACGTCTTTCTGCGATGGCTCATCATGTGTTGATTCCACAACAACTGCTATAGTTTCAACTGTGACCACTACATCTAGAGGTGTTATCATAGTGTACACTACGTACTGTCCTTTGACAAATACAAAGACGCCCTTCACTACTATGACAACACCACAATCAGCTATAACTACTTCCAATGATGTTGAATCTGGCTTTGAAACCACTTCTTCAACTGTTTTATTGAGTTCTACCACCAACGCGATCACTCACTCACTAGAAACAGTGACAACATTGGAAAGCATGCATTCTTTGTTCACATCAACATCACCAACGGTCCGAAACGATGAAACAACTCTTGTTGTTGTATCTTCGTGCACCCATGGATCATGTACTACTGAAACTTCAACAGCTTTGGTTACCACTGTGACAACAACACATGAAGGTCTCATTACTGTTTACACTACGTATTGTCCCTTGACTGAAATTACGTATCCACCTTCCAGTGCGTCATCATCCAGTGTGTCGTCCAGTGTGTCATCATCCAGTGTGTCATCATCCAGTCTTTCAAGCTTCATTGTCCCAACTTCCAATGTCCCAGCCACCAGCTCCTCAGTGACTAGCTCTCCAGAACCACAGTCATCAGATTCAATTGGTCTATCTCAAACTATTCCATTTGATGTCAGTATTTCAACATCGCTTACAACTTCAACACCAACAACTGCTGAAATTGTGACTACAAGCTCATCGTATGAGCTCTACACTGGCATCTTCTCTGAGCTTAGAGAATCAGTAACCTGGTCCTTCACATCTACTGTGAACCCTATACAGCCTGTCTCTACTACAGATGAGTCTTCTATCAGCTCTCACGGCGAGCACAGTTATACATCAACTTTGGAAACCATTGAGGTTTCAACTACGGACTCAGCTACTCATAAGACCGCAATCACAACCATAGTTACTGCAGTAGCGAGTGAGTCTGAATCTAGAGTTGACATTGAAACTTCAAGATCCCAATATTCCACTTCAGTGAGCATCTCGGAACCTGCAAGCTCATATTTCCAACCGGTTATATCAACATGGGAAGGCCAAGGGATGAAGAGAACAGTTTGCATTTTGACGGTGCTTAGTTTGTTGTTCCTTTGAAGTAAGGAACTGTGCAAATCCATAGATATGTATTGTATATTATATAAACACATAATAGTCTAAGCACGCACAATGTCCCATTCTACTTCTGTTATCGAGACTTCCTGCCCGGCATTGTCATCGTAGTCATAGAACTCATTCTCTGAGAGGTCAATCTCCTTGAATGGCGTGTTCGATTCGACACCAGTGGCTTCGAAATTACCCTGAGGGATGAACTTGACCAATTCCAGGCCTCTGGCCTCAACCTCCAAGATCGTCTTTGGTTTCTGATCGTCCTGCGAGAGAGTCTCCTTGGTTCTTGTTATCGATGCAGTTGATTCTCTCTTACAGGATTTACAGCGGAATACAAAGTTTGCCTCTCCACGGGAGCCTGAAATCTCGTGTTGTTCGAATCTGTTGATGGTGATCTCCTTTTCATGTTGTTCACGACAAGATGTGCACTGGATCTCGAACGTATACTCGAATGGATCCTCGGCAGTGTCGGTTGGCTGAAGATCCTTGAGGCCTTCTACTGTGGCCTTTAGCTGAAGTTTGTAGCCCATTGTTTGCCTTAATTCTGACCTTCGTAGTGGTTTAATGTTGAGGAAGAGCGCCGGAGTTGGGATAAAAAGCGGAACAAGCCGGGAAAAAAAACATACGAACATTTCCTCAGAAACATCACCAACAAAAGATATAGAAGAGGACATAAACCGGCATGTACAGAGTTCCCCTGAGGATTGTACGGCCTTCCCTCACCAAGAGATTTATCTCTGTACTGCCCACCACCGAAGATGAGCTGGAACTGTTTGGACCGAGGACTATGAGATCACCAAAGGATGAGATGACCCAGTCGCTTGTTGCTGAGAAGTTACTGTCTTTGTACTATACCAATGAGCTATTGTCGCCGAGCAGTCTGGAATCGTGGGGAGATACACACGTTGAGATCCATAGGGATAAAAAGTTAAGCGAACATCTCCATGCTATTGGTGTGACTTCTGACGTCGAACAGTTACCTTTGGAAGATCTCATATCCAAAATACCCAGTGATTCCATAAAGGAACAGCTGAAGCACCTGTCTTCACAGATTGGTCATTATAGAACTACTACGTATGAAGAATTGGAGCAGAATAAGCCCCTGGGTCCAAGACGTGGGTTGCCAACTCCGTTGTTGAAAGTGATTGAGAAATACCAACGAGCCAATAAACTGGAAAGCTCATTCCTATTTGAAAGCGCCATTGCCATTATGAAAACACCCATGTCATCTTTCCCATTGGTGGAGGTCTTGACAGGACTTGAGGAGTTTCCAAATAATACCAACCTCAGGGCATTGGCCTGTATATTAGCTTCAACTGTTCCACATGTTACTGAGGAGCAATTCACCAGCGTACTGAGAACATCGGTAATTGCTGAGGACTATGACCTCTTCAATCAATGTATTGGGAAACTGAGGTTGATCAACACCGACGTCCACAATGGTACGTTTGTGAAGAAGATCTCCAAAGGCTCCGACTCGTTACCTTGGCAGTTATACTCCATTGCACTTGAAGGCATGCTTAAGCTGAAGTACTCGGAGAGTGAGATGTCCATAGCTATAAATAACCTACTCACAGGGATAGTTGTTGATAAACAGACCCAGGAGGTGAGTGTGAGGATTTACTACAACCAGAGGAAGTCGATGGATGCTAACGTTTGGAACGTTCTTCCACAACGGCTATTGGAACTACTCGCTGAGGTTGCGGTCAAGTTCGAATTCGCAGAGTTATTGAAGAATTGTATCAAGCAGATGTCTGTCAACGTACAAACAGGTGTGATATCAAGACACCAGTTCCTGTCGTTGCTACAAAGACTGGAGGCGGAAACCTCGGGACATAGCGAAACACTCTTGAGTACAATCAAGGGACTACAGAGATGATTTCAAACACATCGAATGCATTCACTGTTATTTCATACATATCTTGTCTGTACATAGTTGTACTTGTTAGTACACACACAATGTTCTCAGGAACTTCATCTCCATTGACCACACTAGTAAACAACCTTGGAAGAAATCATGCGACACAGGTTCGTCCTTTAGGAAACCCCAGTTCTTCATAAAAACAGAGAACAGAGGGAGTCTTTTCGGTGGATTGACAAATATTTTATAATCATTTTATAACAAGCGGTTGAGTGTGACCAGAGAGAAGGTTAAACATCATAAACTTACACTATCAATTGGCCCCATAAACTGCCAACTGCTGGTTTCAAACAGTCCTCGGTGTCTGGAAAAAACACTGAGAGAGGAAGAAAAGTTTTTGTGTGTGTGGGTTTTTTAAACTTTTTTAGGTTTTCCGTTCGAGGATGCTCATCGGTTGGCACCACATGTACACCCGGACACCATCAAAATTTTACTGTCTTGTCAAATTCATCCAAAACTGTTTATCAATACAATAGCATCGAGCGAGAACAAGAAGGAAACAACGCCTTTATAAGGACTCGGTGTGTTATACGTGATCGAAGAGGTATCTAACGGCTATGAAATTCCTTACAACAAACTTTGTGAAATGCACGTCCAAAGCGTGTGACTCCACAACGGATAACTTCCCATTACAATTCAACGACTGTGAGTTGATCCAAGAGGAACAAGAGTTCAAGCCTGAATTTCTCTTGAACATCCTGGATAGACTTGATTGGAGCGCAGTGTTAAAAGTGGCACATGACCTGGGTAACGACTCATTACCACAGGCGTTACCTGAGAACGTTGACCCAGAGGACCCAGACACACTGGCCCTTTTGAAGGACTTACACTCATTATTACTCGAGACAAACATCACACAGGGTGAGATGAAGTGTCGTGCATGCGAGCACGTCTATTACATCAAAAACTCAATTCCAAACTTCCTGTTACCACCACATTTGGCTTGATTTATACATGTTAGAATGATACTAATAAAGAAGACACTTCGCTCCCCAAGCCCCACCAAATTATTCGAATCTGTAGATGACAGCTCAGATAAGATATCTACAAAGAATGGACACGCAGTATTCAATACTTCTTGAGCTACATTCATTCAAAAATCTGGTAAGATTCGTTGAAAAGGCACATAAACTTGCTTATATCTCGACAGCCAAAGAGACATTAGGCTAGTGTGGTTTTTCACACGGTAGAAGTAATTTATATCATCTTATATACAGCATCTTGACTTGATTGAGTGGGTGGTTCTTCTAAAATAGCCTCCGCATTTTCCCTCTTATATATATAATTCTGGTTCTTTGTTGCCCCAGCAATCCTGAAAATGTAAGGATGTTTCTAATTCTCGCAGCATTGTTTATACTTTGAACTATTATCAACAAAATGACACAAATCTCTCACAGTTTCATACACAAAGTTAGGAAGATAACGAAACAATGACCAAAGGCAAAAGGTTAAACACTCAAAGTAAAAAACCCGTAGGACGTCCAAGGAAAATCAAAAGGACTCCTCCCTGGGCCATCCCACGAGGTCATCAAGTCGAAGAAGAAACATCAGCGGCTGATTCAGAACCACGGCGGCAACCTCAAACGAATGAAGGTAAGACTATACCAGAAAATTCAGCCATTATCGAGATAGGTCATCTGACCTAATATGAGAACCATCATTAGAGGATACACCAGAAAATTTACGACAACCCCCCCATTACTTGAGCCTGAGCCTGAGCCTGAACCTGAACTTGATAGTGGAACTATGGCTGGTAGAATAAGAGGTAGACGAAGAAATGCAGCACGGGTAGCAGAAAGAGTGTTAGAAGAGAGCCTACATGATGAAGCTTTTGATCATGACACCAATGGCTTGAGTGAAAATGATGATCCAGTTTATGACCCACCACAACATCGGAGACCACGAAAACCAGGGAACTCTGTGTATAATCCCAGTGGCCGAGCTTACAAGAATTAAATCAGAACACACATGTGATTCGAAATGCCCAGTAATCTTCACAAGTTGCTAATTAACACCGAGACATTGCTTAGCTATGACCATTAATAAGTCACAGAGTCAAACCTTTAGAGGTGGAGTTGATATCCACATGAGCTCAACATGATTTGGTCTTGGTAAAGCTTACGTTGCACTTTCAAGCTTAACCAATATGAATGATACTGACACGCTTTTACCGAAGAGTATATACAATAGCCCAAGTGCTCACAATTGTCAATCAAGCGTTTGAAAAAGTAGCTAAACACATAAAAGACGAGATAGATCTTTTTCACACTTAATGGATCCCAGATCAGGAGCATTCTAACACCCATACCATCCACACCTTTGTAAACATATCTACCAAGACATACGCCATAAACTCAGGAAAGCTACTGTGGATCTCGTTAGAGTCAATCCATGATTCTAATCAGCGAGGGAACAGACAAATAAAGGCCAATCCTCCATAAGCCCCGCAGCGCAATTTGATCGCTAACGCTCTAGCAAGTCGCGTTCACCCTACCGAAGCATTACAGATTAGCTTGTCAGATAGCAATACAGCTAAATGTCCTTTACGGAAGAAAAACCCGCACATCTCTTCCCAATTTGGATCCCAAGTGAGCCAATAGAAAAGATACAAATGTGTATAAACAAGAACAGGCTCAAAATAAGAGCAATTGGCAAAAGCAAAAACGACAAGTGAAATTCACAGCAGAAAGAGCAAAATCTCCTGTTCTTTTTTTAGCCAAAGGGCGCGCGCGCGTGCGTGTTTGTGTTCTAAGCCCAGTACGGAAAATTCGCGGGTCAAAAAGCCAGGCAAAAACAGGCTGAAGCTGTCTGTATTTTTTTTTCCGTTTTCCTCTCAGGTTTTGCTTAGATTCGGTGTATGTGCTGTGTGTTCTTTATACCCTTTGCCAGTTGTTATTATAGAGGAATCGATTTGAACGTACTTCACACGGTGTAAACATACAAGTTATTACAACGATGATCTGCGATACGAACTGGTTGCTCTTCACAGCACTTTCACTCTTTACATTAAAAGTTGACGCACAGGAATCTTCATCCTCTACTGGGGCCTCCTCTTCTTCCTCATCTTCATCTAACGCCTCCTCGGAGTCATCAAGTGCCGGTAGCAATAGTGAACTGGTTGGTACGTGGTCTTCCAAATCCAACACAGTATTCACGGGGCCTGGATTTTATGATCCAATAGACGAGTTGCTGATCGAGCCTGCGCTTCCCGGGATCTCGTATTCCTTCACAGAGGATGGATATTGGGAGGAAGCGGTATACCAAATCACCTCAAACGCTCAAAACCATTCGTGTCCAGCGGCGGCGCTAACGTTCCAGCACGGGACGTATGAGATACTGTCGAACGGATCCTTGCTACTAACGCCTTTCGAGGTTGACGGCCGTCAACTCCTGTCGGAACCTTGCGAGGACTACGGCATCTCGACGTACTCAAGATATATCCAAACAGAACTCTACGACCAGTTTAGCGTATACGTTGATCCATACCATGGACGCTACAGATTAAACCTCTTTGAATGGGACGGCACCCCAGTACAGCCTCTCTACCTGGCCTACAGACCGCCAATGATGCTTCCTACAGAGACGTTGAACCCGACAGACACCGCAGCGGAGACACATTCTTTGAGAAAGCGTATTAGACGTTCGCTGGCTAACAAGGGTAGAACAAGGGCTGTGAAGGTATCGCCCATCAACGTGGATCTCTGGTGGTGGACGTCGGTCGGTGTCATCGCAGTTGGTGGTGTCAGCTACTTCTTCTTGTGATTCGACCACAGACCTTTGCTACTATAAAGCAGAGAACGAATATATAAGTCAAAGTGCCTCGTGAAATGTGTTTACTATTGGTAGCTATGTAGCGTACACTTCACTGCTGCGCGAACCGTGTATTTCACGTAGGGGACGACCACCTTCCTGCATTGGTAACTTCAACAACAGGCCTTTTTCGTCGCTCTCTCCACTCGTTTCATTCTATCGCTGACGTGTTGAAAAGGATACCGCCCAGCTTCGAAATGGTTGGTATGAAAGGGCTTCCACAGCCGTATAACTTGAATCCGAAGAAAACATCATGGCTTACAACACCACAGAAGAGACTACTGTTTTATGCACTTGCGCTCTTCTCCATTGGCTTCATCATATACTCATCGATACCGCCAAGGGACCAACCAACGGAGATTATCATCGACACTGAGAAGATCAGCGGCGGTAAGCTGAAACGAGTTGGTGATGGCCTCGACAACGTTGGCGATGACACCGGTGCTGTCGTTTCCAGGGCTGTACAGAAGGACAGTAACAACTCGCCATTGTTGTGAGGAAGACAATAGAAACACAGGTATCTAAAGATGATCTTTATATATTAAGTACTTGACATAAAACATTACATATCAATTAATTAATGCAGTCCATGTTAGAACATTTCTCTCGAGGTGATCGCTCATACCTTCAATCCATGGGCATGCGCGTCTTGACGCTCTTGCCAGACGGTCTTACCAGAGCAGCTACAGACTTGTTTATCGTTTTCCCATACTCCAGCGCTTCTGGCAATGACACCGGCAAGGGCATCCTTCAACTCCTGCTTCTCTTCAACAACTACAAACGACCGCCCGATGAGATCTGCAACGTTCATAGGTGCGCTTTGGAAGCTCTGTCCGCTGCCTGTTTGATCCACCTTCACGTCTTCAAACTTGAAAAGAGAGTCTCCAGTGGTCAATGCTCCCTTCGAAATGTTTCCTGAAGCTCTGAAAGATGGTTTATACGTACCAGTTGGCAGCCCGCTAAGGGTAATATCAACCAGTAACTTGTTATCCCCGATGGATACCATTCTTGCGAGGCCCTTGACGGGTTCAGCTTCACCTCTAAAGGTTTCCAAGATGGCGACTGCCGCGGAGTTCGGCTTACCAGTTCCTCTGATGATAGCTTCACGGCCGGTGTCTTGGATTGCCTGAATGATGGTTGACGGTGCTGCAATACCGGTAACGCTCACGAGTTTCTTGTTGAGATCAATGTCAAACCTCTCCAACCCTGGGACTTCCCCCAGGGCTTTTTTGACACTATCAACGCACGACTCGCACGTCATATCAACATTATAAACGGTCTGTGGAACTCAGTCAGTATACAGCTATCATTGGCGATGCATACAAACACAACACTCACTTCAAACGACATTGGCAAATAACAGTAAACTAACAGTTACCTATCTGACAAGAGTTGGAGTGTTTCGAAGTGGGTCGGTTTTTACAAATTGATATGTCAGCGACGCACACAACTGCGCACGCGACGGCGAGCCACGGTTTAGCCCACAAGGGCCATCGCGTGATACGATTTACGTCGGCATTCCCTAAGTTACGCTGAGGAGTGGTTAATGTATATTGGCCTAACTAATGAAGAGCGATGTGTATATGTTGCAATCAATCGAATCCAGAGATCCTCTTCATATAGAAATAGGCACAGAGTGCAAATAAGAACATACCAGACGTTATGCACCAGAACCAAATTAGAGAGTCCTCAATTCCCTGTCCTGGAACTAAAACGTTCATTCCCCATAGACCAGTCACAATGTTCATAGGTAGCACAACGGTACCCAAGAGCGAAATCTTTCCAAGAACATCGTTCATATCGTTGTTTACCCTGGTCATGTCGATATTGATCTGTGCGAGATAATTGGAGTGGGATCTGGCCAATAGCTTTTCGTAATGGTTCAGACTTTGAACCATCGTGACAATATGGTCTTGAATGTCCCCCAAGTACATACCAATTTCAGACCTAGGAGCAACCTCCCATTGTTCATTACATCTCTTAGCAAAGCCTTTTATAACGTCCACCTTTGAAACTAAGAGACGTAGTAAGGCCATCACCCTGGCACGTGTTTCACCAATACGCTTCAACAAGTCACCTTTCTTCTTCCATTCAATCACGTTTGAGTTCGTAGATCTTGTAGACTTCGTTGACGCAGAGCGTACTGATGACAGAGACTTGGCGTCGATGGTGGATTGTTTCCGCATCATACTTAGAGGCTTGTAATCGAAATCATCATCACTATCATCACTGTCCTCGTCACTAGAATCCGAGTCGTTATGCATCCTTAAAATTGAATCCTCGATGTCGTTGACTTCATCTTCAATACTTTCAATCATTGGACCAAACGCATCTGTAATGTCATCGATTAATGCATATGCTATCCAATCCGCACTCACAGTGAGATACTCACGTAATAGCCTGGCTCTACGACGAACATTCACAGGGTGAGGAGTTGGTGCAAAATGGAAGGTTAAAACCGCATGACGGAACACAACAATGTACACGTTTAAAGGTTCCAACTCGTTGTTCTTTGGCTTGTGCTTTTCACCTGACTTCTTTTGATACCGTTCTCTCTCCAACTGTTTTCTGCGGCGTCTCATGGAAGAAGATTCAGACTTCATCGACTGCTCGGACCTTGAAAGGGATTGACGTCTGCTGAATAACTTCTGCCATACTGTTGCAGGTTTGATCGACTCAGATTTGGTAGATTCTGCATTGGATTTTTTCATCTTTATTCTCTCTTGAACAATGTCAAATGAACGGAAACAGACAAAATAGTAATCCTTAAACAGTTCAACCTTTTCTCTTGTCTCTCCTAAAAAGATATCCTCTGTGGTTAAAGGATGCACTTGGAACGCCTTTGACAAGACTTTCATCTCTTCTTCAGTTGGATTCAACACGTCCAACCAGAAAGGAGATATGTGATCCTCAGACTCGTCCAAATCGTTTAAAGATGGTGACGGCTCCTTTGAAGTTAGCTCCTTCAATGACTCTTTCTCCTTGTACGAGTTTGGGGTGGTTGAAGGCTTACTCTGCTTCTCCTTCGAATACTCAGAGTATTGGAATAAATCCGCAAATCTCTGTCCAGGTTGTAACAACCCAGAGATCGTTGGTGAGTGCACTGTGGAATCCAAATCTTCTCTAAAATAGGTGAATCTGAAATGACCCGGGTTGCTGTTGACGATATGTGGTGGGTAATTGATAGTGTTAAGGAACTGGGTGTTTGACCTGTTCTTTGCAAAGGGGTTAATCTTTGGTGGACGTAGTCTACCAGTTAGGGTCTCAGCCTCGTTGATCCTCTTATTCCCCAGTAAAGGAGCATCCACCTTTGTCACTATAGGGTAGGAGAATCCAACTTGGCCAGATGATGCATCGGCGCTATCGACATCAGAGGACGCGAGGTCATACCTCATGTTAGCCTGTGATGCCTCTTGAGCAGCCTCCTCTTGAAGCCTCTCTGTTTCCTCCTTTAGAAACTCATCCAGCACTTCAAGGTCGGGCCAGTTCTTTTGAACTTCGTCATCATCCATAGCATCCAAGGGGAAACACACGTCATCTAAGGAGCTCGGTTCACTGTTTCTTCTTGTTACCGGCTTTGAATCAAACACTTCTTCATCCTTGAAAATATCATTGTCATCAGTGCTTGAGCTGTTTTGCCTTTGACGTGATCCCAATCTCTCCATGTCAACAAGACACTCCCTTGTAACATGTCCTTGCGACCCATGTGATGCATGTGACGCATGTGAACCCTTTGATCCATACTGTGGTCTATGAGCGTTATGGGTCGAGCCTACACTCGATCTGTGGACCCAGCTTCGTGACAAGGGCACGTCTCCAGACACAGAGGATTTCCTGTGGATATCCCACTTTCTCAAATCTCTAAACGTATTGGCATCGTTACCTCCACCACTCAAGAGTGTATTGCTCTGTCCAAAGGTTGAAGACGACGACTGTTGCCCTATACTTATGTTATCGTCCTCAACTGGAATGTATCGGGAGAATGTTGATCTTCTTCTCCCCATCAGAGGTTTACGCTCGTTAGGATCCATGTTGTTATCTTTGATACCAACGTGCAAGCGTTTGTAGTTGATGTCTGTCCTTGTCCCTTTTTTGTTTAAAGTTTTGTCTGATAGAGCTCTTTTTTTCGCTGCTTCCCGTGCGTCTTTTTCTTGCTGTGCGATAATGTCGAGCTTTCTAAGAAGGGACTAGGGAACCAGGCCAAAAACATGATCACCTCGTTGACAACTGCTGAAACAGTGTCATTCCTTTGACGTATACGCTGTTAATTTAAGTTTACACTGTACAGTATCTCCAGAGACTTTTTGTCTTGGTACGCTTTCCATTCCAGGACAGGGACTCAAAAGCCCTTACCCGCTTAGGCTACAGACTCACAGGACCCAGAGGACTTCTTGAGACACACAGGGTTTACAGGACACACAGCCCAGCATGTACAGCTCGGAGAAGCAGCGGGATTGAGTATACGCGACGTCTGTGGAAGGGAGATCACATCACTATGGAGAACATGAATTGAAACAGTAAGTATTAACTCGATGGGAATACAGAGCAACAGACTATGATTTTTGCTTCTTCGCAGATAGGTCCTGTACGACCTCGGCAATCTCAGCTGATAGGCCAATCAAGTTTTCCCATTGGTCAACGCTTAACGATATCCCCTTCTTACCTGGCTTGAATTCACCATCGGATTCGTAGTATTCACGGATATCAACCAATACTGTGTTCTTGAACTTTCTCAGCGTTACACGACGCTTCGACGACAACTGTGGATTATTGAGATGCGGTTAGTAACAATGCGCTCTTTCTCTCTGGCTTTCTCTATCTTCCGGCCCTTCTAATGTAGATGCCTATAAAAACCTATCAGTACTCACCTCAAAATACCGATCTCCATCGGTGTTTGTTAGCGCTCCATTTTGCTCTCCTGATTTGGGGACTTTCTCCTCAGCCTGTTCTCTTTTTACCACGTGTGGTTCATCTTCTGCTCGTTCTCTCTTTACACCGGACATCACGATTGGTTATATATCACTTTTGCCTCTCAAAGTCGCCCTCCTATGTATTGGAGAAGAGAGTGTGTGAAAAGGGAGAAAAGCATCGAAAAGCCGGAAATAAACTCTAAAACTCTCTTCACCACACACTTGAAAGAGCGTGATTAGCAGCAAATACAATGGCTCCAATAACTACACCACATAGGAAGGTTACAGGACAGTTGGATGATCTACCTCCTCTGCTCATTGGTGGCGCAGTCTTCAACCAACAGTTCAACGATAACCCGGAACAGCTGCCAGTGGAGCAAATCCTCAGAATTGCCTTTGACAACGGGCTTAACGCTATAGATACATCACCGTACTATGGGCCTTCTGAGATATTGCTCGGTGATTGCCTCAAGAAATTACACGATGAGTATCCCAGGGATGAATACTACATTGTCACCAAGTGTGGAAGAATTCAGCTTGATGAATTTGACTATTCGCCTGCATGGATCAGGAAGTCTATAGAGAGATCCTTGGAGAGACTGGGCACCACGTATCTGGACCTCGTCTACCTCCATGACATTGAATTCGTCGATGAGGCCGGGATCCTCGAAGCGTTGAAAGAGCTAAAGAGGCTCAAACAAGAAGGGTTGATCCATCACTTTGGAATCAGTGGATACCCAGTGGATTTTCTTTATGAGATTGCATTGAAATGCTCAACCATTGAAGAGATTGGTCCATTGGACGCTGTTCTCAGTTATTCCAATTTCAACTTACAGAATGAGAGATTACGTCCCTACATTGACAAGTTTCTAAACGAGTGTAAAGTACAAAAGGTGTTGTGCGCTTCGATCCTGTCGATGTCACTCTTGAGATCTGCACCTACACATGCTTTCCATCCAGCTTCCCAAGAACTGAAGGACAAATGCCAACAAGTGGCTGAGTTGACATCTTCAAGAGGTGTTGAGCTAGCTGATTTGGCAACGAGATATGCCATTAGAGAATTCCCCGGCCCAGTGGTTCTAGGTGTTTCTACTGTGGAGGAGCTACAAGATGCAATAGTTTCCTATTGGAACGTTATCAATAGTTCTGTTAATGACGACCAACTAGTCAAAGAGGTCAAAGGTGCCTTTGGATCTCATTTAAACGAAGTTTGGCCAAGTGGCAAGCACTAATCTTTCTTTTTATCAGATAACACTCCCTCTTTCTCGTTTAACTGATCGGCAAGCTTATTATAGCTTGTTTCTAGTCCACTTTTTTGTTTCTGTAGTGTTTTAAGGTCAAGGTCCTTTGAGGCCAGTTGTTTCGTTAGTTGCTCCACACGTTCCTCTACGGCCTTTGGGTCGTTAGCTTTTCTCTTCAACTCTTCGTACTTGATCAGACGTCTCACTATGCTGAAGACTGTTGGAATGGCCAACGTCAGGAATAGGATAGCACCAGAAATGTAAAGGTTTCTTTGGCTGTAGAAACGGCGTGCCAAAAGATCCGCTGAAGTTACCATTGAATGGTTCTGAGTGTACTCCCTATGCCACTTCCAAGAAGATCTCAAAGAATCACTGAACTGAAGACCAATCAGCACTGTTGTCACCACCCCCACGGTTCGTAACTCCTTGGAATCGTATGCCCTTTGGTAGATCATGAATGCCTTCTTACGAAGAACAAGAGGCAAGGGGAATACCAGGATGGCCAAAGCGGTCATCTGAAGCACTAAGAGCGTGAAAAGCTTGATAAATACGTCAGTAAAATGACTCACAGAACATCACTATGTTTGAACACATATACACACCAATGACATGAGAATACCCATTTTGAACTAATTGATAGAGCTGTGCTTTCGAAGTGAGGTTAGTTTATGGGAAAGAGTTGATGACAGCTGTTGTTGAAATTTCAAAAAGCGCCTGCTACTTAAATTTCAACGCACCGCCTCTCGATAATTCCATCAAGATGAGATTTCCAACAGCCCCTTCGCCGCTAATACAACAATGATTCATTTTCATTTCCAGAGGTTATCAATCTTCCAAGGGTTTTTTTACACAATCACAGTATTCAGTTCATGGTAGGTTCGGTGGTTAAAGCGTCGTACTAGTTAAGAACGTGTGTTTGGATTAAAGTCATTGCACGTCCCATATTAACAAAAAGTTCTGATATCATCAACAACTGGTTGACATATATGATCAACGTGTGTCTCATAATCTACATTGTAAAAATTAAATTGTTTTGGATTGTATAGAAGATTGTATATAACAAATTCCAAACCCATCTGTTTTGTCATGACCAGAACACATCTGTATAAACTTTGAACACATAGAAGTGTTGTGTCGTGTATGGTGAGACAATATGAGGGTATCAATTTAATCCTTTGTAAAGATTAAGGGTTAACCAATAGCCAGTTAGGAAACTTAACGATCCTCCGATAAGCGCAAACATGGTGGATATTGTCAAATCTTGTATGAGGAAAAGATGCAAAGAAGCGTTGTTACCAAAGTTGTACTTTGTGAGGTGGAAAGAGTAGGCGAAGCAAAAGAGACCAATGCTTGAGCCGCTTAGGAAACTGAGCCATCCCCAACGCCAGTTACCAACACACAACGAATAGTAAATGTTCAAATTTGCAGTGACAACAATCATTGCGATGAGAATAAACAGAAACCAGCTCACCGTAGTATCGGAATAAGTGTGATGGTACCACAACGTCAAGTAGAACCTTGACAGTGGCACAACCATGATGGAAAATGGTGCAATGCCAAATATCAGAACGTTTGGAATAGTACGGAAAGTGATTGGTAGGTGTGGGACTTGACGTTCAATCTCACTTACTTTACGTGTAGGGACAGTAAAGTACTTGTAACTGGCAAGGAAGGAACACACCGAAATAGCAGCATAAGCCTCACACGATTTAAAAAACAACGACCATGTCACTCTGTATGGAGACCCAACAGTTTCATTGGTCCAGTTATACCAGTAGATCATTGGAGTCAACAGCAATGGGACGGCAAAGGAGTCCAAAGCAGCTGCAATCGTCAACTGGTTACCGCTCTCGAAATAGAGCTTGTTAAGATAAGAGTTCAGTGCAGATCCCAAAGGAGTGGTGATAAAGAACAGGACCACTGAAACCTTTGTAAAGTACCCGTCCAATCTATGGACCTGGATTCCACCTAGTAAGTAAAAGACAGATAGGGAGATAGCACATGTAGTGATTTGCGTGCCTACTGATACAAACAAACTCAACAGCGCAAAGTTCCCTGGGCGTCTCTGCACCTGAAGTGCAAGAGATGGCCATGATAAGCCAAGATCATCACTATTGACAATGTCTTCTTCTATCTGCGTGTTTGCTGTCTTTTTGTTCCGAATTGCTCTTGCTCTTTCATAGGTAGTGGCCTTCCGGTACGTTTTATATGAGAAACCCCCGATGATTATCACCAAGGACAAAAACAACATCAGCGTAACGTTTAAGATCAGCGGACGAACGATATCGTTTCTGTAGATATCCCATTTGTTGCCAATGTACTTGTTGGTCTCTTTCCAGAAGAATTCATAACTGTACTTTGTACCACTGAACATTTGTTCATGTCTGCTAAAGTATACAGGTTGTTCCAAATGGCAACGGATCTCATTCTTTGGTGGTCTGTTCAAAGATTGCTCAGTGACCGTTACGTGGAGAATTTCATAACCAGTCTTGAAGTTCTTGTAATACACGATGAACTGGAAGTGGTTGAACAAATGTGGCACGTTGTAGAAGTCCAAGTAACCCAGAGGGATTCCCGGCTTGACAAAGAACTTGTTTGTCTCAACATCGTAGGCATCTTTACCGACAGGGATGTCATCCAGGAAGAAGTTCAATCTGTAGTCCTGTTCTATGAGATCGTGAATAAGAGAAATGTTTTCCAAGCTGTACACCTTGTCGCATTCATGTTGACATCTACTGTTCTCCATAAATGTCGCTTTGATTGGAGCTTCCATCAAGTTGTTTTGAAAGAGTGCATCCTCTTGTAGGACATGTGATTCGTTGCTCAAACGACCCGGTTGCTCAACTGGTGGACATGATCCCAGAGTCGGGTAGTAGAAATCAACAGTGTTGAGGTATAATGCCTCGTCGAAGGAACCACCACCTGGAGTCAGGGGTTTAACGCCAACTGAAATTGGGTCCCCTTTCTTGTATATCTTTGAAGCACCGGTTCCCGCTAGAAGCACCACTGTGGTGAGTATGCTTACAAAGAAATTTTTCAGCAACATCCTCTTGATCCACTTGTGTGTGTGTGTTTTTTTTTGTTTTCTAAAAGATTGCTTCACAGTTCACGAAGTTGGTTAAAGGTCAGACGACCGACTCGATCTATAGCAATTTGAAACCATGAAATTAGGACCTTAAGAACAACGGTTCGTAAAGTGAGAGGAATTTTTAACCAATTCGTTAGGTTTACTGGAACTCGCAATCGGGCAACGCCAGGCTGCCAGGGACTTACCAGGGACTACCAGCAATTCCCCTGTGTACGCGGGTCTGACGCAAACTCACGCATCCGCGATCAGGTTTACGCTTCCAAGGGGGACAGTACCGGTTAGATGAAAAAATATAAGCCTTGTTTCAATGTTGGTTATGGGGCCATTCATCAGACAGGGCTGGATTATAAGGCTTAGCAGTGTTTCAAATTAAGGAGAGACTTCAACCGGTGAGGCGATTGATACATAGATTCATTTACAGGTGTTTTCTTTTTTGCAAAGAAAAGGGGTATCTTGAAAGCCGACCTACTATCTTAACGCTTGGACAGTATTTCGCGCTCATCGATTGACAAAATGTATTTGGGTCTGTCAGAGGTCTCAATGCAAGTTTGTTGACGCCGGTGTTCGGCAACACCGTACAGCGCGTTTGAGGGAGGACGCCGTTTTCTACAGCTTGCTCAATTTTGGAGAAGATTTTAGCAACCGTTCTTCCTGAGGAGAATTTTGAGACTAAACTGCATGCCCATGCGCATGAAGAATAAACTCTCATCGAGCTGCAAGCCCAAAGTTAAGGTTAGCTTCCAACGGGAAATATCCAAGCCAAAGGACTACCCTACTTTGATATACATCATTTGGACACTCCTATATAGGGTAAGATTTGTACCCTCATATGATTAGTTGGTAGTTTAGGCCCTCGACGTACCTCCTCCTATGTATGATGTATACCATATAGTCGCCTCAGCACCACACTGAAATTCAGGTTGTACAGTGCTTCCTGGGTTGTGCATTAGGATGGCAGAATACAGAAGATTTATTACACAGGGGTTGTCGTTGTGGCGACAGTTTAGGAGTAAGGGTCGACCTGCATTGTCCTCACCCTCTAGACCTGGGAACAGGGGGGGGGTGTTAATATTCGATAAACTTATCAGTTGAACACAGTTCATTGGTGAATAACTTCAACATCTAGATCACTATTTGATATAATTGTGAACCTTGCTATGTATAAAATAGCTGATTGTATGACAGAATGTATGCCTGCCGAACGATGAGGTTGCGGGCATAGCACTCGTGAAGTGGATACTCGAATCCCTGAGTCTATGCAAGGCAATTTGGTCACAAAGTAGTTGGAACCACAACTCACAGACTCCAAGTCAAGACGTATGGGCAGATGAATCTCAGATGTGTATGTGCATGATGTATGATGAATCAGTTCTCAGTAACAGTTTAAGGACCTGAAATGGTTAATGCAGCTGATTGAAATTTGTTGCAGATGGATACTTCAACTGTAGTATTTATACAAATTGGAAACACTCCGAGAAGCTGAGATGAATTCAATGCTTCCGCTCTTTAGGCCCTTAGCCCATTGAAGAGAGATACATATACAAATTACCTGGAAAATTCAGAGCTATGTCAATTTTAGTTTACTGAGACAACAACAAGCCAGTGCCAAACCTAAAACGACTGCCTGTGCATAAGATTGGTCGTTCTTGACGTATTTGAGCTCGGATAAGCCGGAAATTGGCCACTTCTAGTATAAAATCTAGAATGTCTTTGGAGCCGGAATGATAACCAAAAGATTCACTAATACGATTCCCCACTCCCTGTTTCTTCATATACTGCGGAAGTTTCAAACCCAATCGTATATGACAACTGTTAAGGACTCTGCACTTTTGTCGTCATTTATTCGTGGATTTCGGGATTTTTGAACCCCATTTCACTGTATCGGAAATTGTCAATAACACCTCCATAACGAATGTATTTGGGCGCGTTCGCCTCCATACCGCTGTTGAACATTGATATATCTCTTTGAGAAGAACTGTTCCTCATTAAACTTGCTCTTTGTGAAACAAATCTACACATAAATCCATTCAAGGACAAAGTAAATATCTTTTGATTACTCGCCACTCCTTTATCACGAAGTTTTTTGCCATTGATCGAAGAGTCAGGCAACGTCAGATTAAGATAGCAGAGTTGCCTGAGCGGTTTACGAAAGCCAAGAGTTGGTCTAAGTGTCAAGGACGCTCCCTCCATCTTTGGTCAACTCACAGAATCTATAAAAAGGTGTGTGATGCTCAATTTACACGAGTTGTTTTCAAAACACTGTGCCGTCGCTGTAGAGATCAATTGGTGGTCCCTTAGTCTCTGGCCTCAATTGTGCGGCAATTTCTCTTCCAGATTTCCAGCTTCCAGCTTCAATAAGTTGTGGTAAGGATAGATCATAGTTGAGCTTCTTGTTGACGAGTGGTAGGATATAGTCCAAAAAGCCAATCGTGAGCGCTCTCCATTCGACAATCACACCGTCATCCGGTGTAAAACTTGGAATCTCTGGTGTCTTTGATTTGATCTCCTTGGAGAGCTCAAGTCCACGCTTGAGATGTTCCGGCTTCAACTCAATGACTTTCAAATCGTAGATCAAACCTCCGTTACGGTACTCTGGTAATCCGGTTTGTAGCGTCTGCTTTGAAATGTTGAACTTATAACCATAATCCTTCAGGGGAACAATTAGTGAATAACACAGCCATTGTGTGAGCTTGTGGAAAGGGATGATGGTGTCAACAAAGTCAGTTACACCAAGCTTAGCCGTCGTAGATAAAGGCCATGCGTCACCGAGAGATACACCATCCACTTGAGTTCTTCCCTTCGGCCAGATGGATGTAAGCCCTTCCATCAATGCATTCCATAGTAGTGGAAGTTCAAATGAATCATCAACAGACTGCTTGTGGAGGTACTCAATGAGATTTCCTGGTCTACCGTCCTCACCAAAAATCTCATTGTTCGATTGCAATGCCTTACCCAAATTTTGCAGAAGTTGTAAGCGTCCTTCAGTTCCAGTTAGAGGATTAGCCTTGGTGATTTGAAATGATTTGATCAATTGTGGCTCTTCGAAGGACACCAACTTAGATGCACTGACCTTATAAGGATCATTTGGATCGTCGCTCAGTTCACCATTCTTGAACATATCAATAGATACAATGGCCAAACCTTCAGATCTATTGAAAACTTTGGACGTTCCCTTCTCGATGTATCTCCACTCATTGCCGGCACCAGCATCGATCAACACGGAGAAAACGAAAAGATCGATGAGCTTCTTTCCGATCTCAATCTCAGCAACATTCTGTGATCTCCATAGTTCGATCAAGGACTCGACACGCAAGTCACCACCAGCGTTGAGATGACCCCAACGACCATGTGGTGGGATAGTATCATACTTGTCTTTGAAATCTCTATCAATGACATCAGTAACAAAGTCAACAACATCATCGACTTTGGACAGATCAACATCAAAGTAATCCAAATTGTTCTGCAAGGCAAGCTCAAAGATTGGGGCAGTATGCTGGCGCACAGCTTGAATCTGTAACAATTCTTTTGCTTTTTCAATATCCTGTGTCATTCCAATGCCTATTCCTAAAATTAATGTTTGAATAGATTTGGTCAAGTTTCGTATTCAAGGGATGCCTTGTTGATTTTATATACTATAACAATTCACAAATGGATTATGTTGGAAGTGTCACCGCAATCCTTATCTCCGTCGGGGTAATAACCATAGTTCCGTACACGTGATAGTTATTCAAACTGAAGCCTTGAGAGATTGTCAGGGTAACAAAAAATTCACCTTCAAACATCCAGACACCACAGACTCACCTTTTCTCTATCAAGTATTATGGTTTGTGCAACAACGCAGGTTTTTTTTTTGCCTCACAAGCACGCAGAGTAGTGAAAAAAAAAGTGAAAATTTCTTCAAGAACTCTTATTGTCACCTTTTTGGATCTCTTCAACCAACTTTCAAGAAGTAAAAGGTATTATAATGTCTGAAATTGAGAAGAAAGAGCAACAACAAGAAGTTGTCATCCACAAGATTAAGATGACCTTGGTTTCCACCAAGGTTAAGCAATTGGAGAAGGTCTGTGCCTCCATTGTCTCCAACGCTTCTGAGAAGAAGTTGGTCACCAAGGGTCCTATCAGAATGCCAACCAAGGTTTTGAAGATTGCTACCAGAAAGACTCCAAACGGTGAGGGTTCTAAGACCTGGGATTCTTATGAGATGAGAATCCACAAGAGAGTTATTCACTTGCAAGCCCCAGCTGCTATTGTCAAGCAAATCACTCAAATCACCATCGAGCCAGGTGTGGATGTCGAGGTCACCGTTGCTGCTTAAAGTTTTAACTAACTTTAGCTAAAATGTGACCTGTATAAAAAATCTCAAAGCTCATTCTGCTGTGTTTTATGTGTTGATGTTATAAGAACTCTAAAGGTTGAAATTACGGTATAAACCTCATTGTTTTTCATTAGCTCTAGATCATTCAGTTCTAATACCTCTGGTGATTATCAGCTGTTTATATTCCGTTGGTTCGGGTTCTCTATAAAACAATATATTTCATTGCCGAGACTGCCTGTAGTAAATTTGTAGAAAATGCTTGTTAAGAAGAATGGATTGACAGTTCAACAACCAAGCTAAATCAAAAATCTTCTGAAGTCTCGATAATCATAGCACAAGTGTCCAAAACACCATCGGTTTCCTGACATGTCAAGAATACTCTTGAGATGAACACTTTAAGGACATAATGGAATACTCATGAGAAGAAAGATGTTGATATTACGCCAGTCAGGTACGGAGAAACCCTAGGCAACAAACATAATGAGGTGCCCAGTTGTCCCAATACTTGTTCAGGTAACTCAGTAAAACCACAGTGTGGCCCATGTATACCACTACTCCCTCGGTCATTTTAGACATTACACCCAAACACCAGTGATCCCTCGCGGTTATTTCTCTTTAGAGATTTGGCCTCGGTCAAATTATCCATAACCCCCGCAAAGAAAAGAATGAGACGCTCGCTTGACCGGTACGGGACCAAAGTTTGTTTGTGTTTTTTTTGTGTCACCGGTGGCTAGTCATCGTTTCCAAGCGTGGAGAATCAAGATACTAAACCGTAGGAAAAGTGTGGCCAACGACTCTGGCGGGAGGGGGTGCTTTCCTTCAACCTCGATTTCATCATTTTACCACGGCAAAACGGTAAGGGGAAACAGGTCGACCCCCATCTCAGGGGAAGGTTTAACCTGCTGTACTCCATAAAGAACAGTTTTCTGTCCCCCACAAATTCCAGCCAACGGTTAGAATTATGGCGAAAAGTGCAAAAAATTATCTTACGGGTAACAACATACAAATTTGACAATTCATGGCAATTATCGCAACCAACCCCGGTTTCGAGGAGGGGAATCATGAGTGGCCCATTGAAATTATATATAAACACGCTGTTTTGTTCCCACCTTCAGTCTTCTTGTTGTTGTTCTTAGCAAAACGTTTTGTAGCGGATTAATAATTTCACACATTGGGACTGTCAAAACAATGGGTGAGCAATTGTTATTTAAGGATAAAGTTGTCATCATCACCGGTGCCGGTGGTGGTTTGGGAAAGCAGTACGCACTCGCTTATGCAAAGAGAGGTGCTAAAGTTGTCGTGAACGACTTGGGAGGCTCGTTGAAAGGTGATGCTGGTGGAGAGAATCACAGGGCGGCAGATGTCGTTGTCAACGAGATCAAAGCCGCCGGTGGTGTAGCTGTGGCAAATTACGATTCCGTGGAGTTTGGTGATCGTATTGTTGACACCGCGGTGAAGAACTTCGGTACCGTTCACGTTATCATCAACAATGCCGGAATCTTGAGAGATTCCAGTTTCAAAAACATGACGGAGAAGGATTTCCAATTAGTCCTTGCCGTGCACCTGAGAGGTGCTTACAAGTTGACCAAGGCTGCTTGGCCATATTTCAGAAATCAGAAATATGGTCGTATCGTTAACACTTCTTCTCCAGCTGGTTTATACGGTAACTTTGGACAAGCTAACTATGCCTTGGCCAAGTCTGCCTTGATCGGTTTTGGTGAGACGTTGGCTAAAGAAGGTAGCAAGTACAACATCAATGTTAACATCATTGCGCCATTGGCCAGATCAAGAATGACGGAAGAAATTCTCCCAAAGGATATGCTAGAGAAATTAGGACCAGAAAAGGTTGTGCCATTGGTTCTTTATTTGACTCATGAATCTTCAACCTCCACAAACTCCATCTATGAGGTTGCAGCTGGTTTCTATGGCCAAATCCGTTGGCAGAGATCTTTGGGTGAACTCTTCAAGCCTGATGAAACTTTCACTCCAGAGGCTATTTTGAACAAGTACAAAGATATCTTCAAGTTTGAGAATAAACCATTCAACAAAGTTTCGTATCCAAACCAGCTTTCAGATTACAACAGATTGGTTGCAGAGAGCGTGAAACTCCCAAAGAATGAGCAAGGAAACAAGAAGGTTTCTCTAAAAGATAAAGTTGTCATTGTTACAGGTGCTGGTAATGGTCTCGGTCGTGCACATGCCTTGTTGTTTGGTAAGTATGGTGCAAAAGTGGTTGTCAATGATATTGCCAACCCAGACAACGTTGTCAACGAGATCAGACAAGCTGGTGGTGATGCTGTTGGTGACAAATCCAACGTTGTCACTGAAGGTGAAGGTATTATCAAGACTGCATTGGACACCTATGGTCGTGTCGATGTACTTGTTAACAATGCTGGTATCTTAAGAGACCGCTCTTTCCTCAAAATGACCGATGCTGAGTGGGACCAAATCCAAGATATCCATGTTTTGGCACCTTACAGATTGTCCAAGCTTGTTTGGCCTTTGTTCTTGAAACAGAAATCAGGTACCATTATCAATATGACATCTACATCTGGTATTTATGGTTCCTTTGGTCAAGCTAACTATGCTGCTGCAAAGTGTGGTATCATTGGATTTACCAAGACATTGGCCATTGAAGGTGCCAAGCACGGTATCAGAGCAATTGCAATTGCACCACACGCTGAAACAGCCATGACAAAGACTATTTTCAAGGAGGATGAGTTTAACAAGTTTGATCCTTCACAGGTTTCTCCATTTGTTGTGCTTGCTGCTTCAGATGCCATTAATGCTTCAGGCTTGGTATTTGAAGTTGGTGCTGGTTGGATTGGTAACACCAGATGGCAAACAGCTAAAGGTGCCGTTGGAAAGGGTGAAATTGAACCCGAGTTCATTAGAGACCACTGGAATGAGATTGTCGACTTTTCTGAGCCAGCTTATAACAAATCCACTCAAGATTCTTCTCTAAACATTTTGGGCGCGTTGGCCAGAGATGAAGTTGATGGAGATGACGACGATGATGACGACGACGATGAAGAGGATTCTAAGGATACTTTCAAGTACACTGAACGTGATGTCATCTTGTATAACTTGGGTCTTGGTGCCAAAGCTAAAGAACTCAATTACGTTTACGAGGGTGATCCAAACTTTGAAGTCATTCCTTCCTACGGTGTTATTCCATTCATGGATGAGAGTGGTGGTTTAGAGGTTAACAAATTGTTGACTAACTTCAACCCTGCCTTGTTGTTACACGGAGAGCAATATTTGCGTTTGCACAAGTTCCCATTGCCAACTAGTGCAACATTGCGTACAGAGGCGTACCCTGTGGAGGTTCAAAACAAGGGTTCTAAGGCAGCTGTTGTCGTTGGTGGGTTCAAGACTTACGATAAGAACACTGGTGAGTTGATTTTCTACAACGAGTCAACTACTTTTATCAGAAAGGCTCAGGCAGCTGATGGTTCCAAGAAGTACAAGGACAGAACCACATTTGCTGTTGCTTCTCATGAAGCCCCATCGGCCACGCCAGATTATGAAATCACTGTTCCAACGTCTGAAGACCAAGCTGCAATCTATAGACTGTCAGGTGATTACAACCCGTTGCACATTGATCCAAAATTCGCCGCAAAGGCAAACTTCCCAAAGCCAATCTTACACGGTTTGGCCAGTTTTGGCATCACTGTGAAACAATTGTACGAAAAGTTTGGTCCATTCAAGGAGATCAAGGTGCGTTTCACCAATGTGGTTTACCCAGGTGAGCATTTGAAGGTTAAGGCATGGAAGAATGGTAACAAGGTTACTTTCCAAACGTGGTCTGTTGAGCGTAATGTTTGTGTCATCAACAATGCCGCATTGAACTTGGGCACTGGTGCTAAGTTGTAAATTAATAAATAGGAAATATAACGAACATGTGAGTATGAAATTTACACTGAAATTGTAGAAAGAAATTCATTAAGTCATTATTATCATTAGTTATGGTTATGGTAAGGATAGTTTTGATAGCGTTTATGTACATTAACCGAACAGCTTCCCATGAGATTTGATAAAATCATTTGGGTGATCGTACTTGATCTCATCGTAGAAGTATTCAACTTGATAGTTACCAGAACTTTCGTACCAACCTCTTCTCTTCAAGAAGTCCTTTTCAGGCATACCAGGAACCGGGAAGAAGTAAACCAAAAGGCAGTAGACTCCAAAGGACGTCAAGTAACCAGAGAAGAAAGAGACGTTATAAACATAGGTGGCACCTATAGGGACCTTTGCTCCACAAGCACCGACAAATCCAACAACATTTGGCATAATACCACAGATATAAGCTGCATATGCCCTCCAATTGATGCCAAATCTATTGTATGAATAGTTCTTGTCTGCGCCGTGTTGATACAGATGGAAGACATTGATATACCCTCTTCTAACAACCAAGTAATCTGCAGCAATGACACCGGCAATAGCACTAAGGAACACAGAATATGCACTAAGATAGGTTGTGAAGTTTGCACTTGAAGACATGAAATGCCATGGACAAATGGCAAAGGCCACAGCAGCACATACAAATCCACCACGTCTGATATTGATGAATCTAGGGAGAAGAGCAGAACCGTCAGTCCCCGCAGAGATGGAATTTGCAGATATGTTTGTACCAACCTGAGCTAAAGCAAAGGCAGCAGATATGAAAAAGACACCAGCACGATCACCTGGTGTGTAATCTTCCACATAACGGGTCAACAGATCCAGTGGAGACCAGTATACCTCGCCATACAAGCTCTTTGATGCAGAAGATGCCAAAATACCGATGAGCGATGTTGTGGCAAAGCATATTGGAATGGCAACAAATTGTGATAAGGAAGAATCCTTTGGTCTTTTTGCCAAACGGGAGAAATCTGGAGCGTTGAGGATGAAGGTTGAGAAATTGGATAGAGAACTCATTGTGGAGTTTATGAAAGCCCAAGCATGGTCCGAGGTTGATAAAGCCGTTTGTTCATGGATAACAGGGCCAATTCCATGAGCACGAACAATAGTCCACACTAAGAAAGCAATACCTGCGGTAGAACAGAAGTAAGCTTTAGCTGTAAACAGGTGTCTGACAGTTTGAGGTCTGCAATAGATAAAAGGTAGGGAAAACAATGAGAATAAAAAGTAGCACATGAACTGGAAAGTTGTAGTACCAGAATTTGGTATTCCATTGTGAATTCTAGTATCCAAGTCTGCACCAAAGATAGACTTTAGCATTAACTGGACACACTCAGATCCCAACCATGCTTGCACTGAGTACCAGACGAAAGCCATGACAACTCTGTTCAAGACAGGCCAAATGGATCCAAATGTACCAAATGATGCTCTGCAGCTAACAGGGAAGGAGATGTGATAATGAGAACCAACCCTTTGGGATATTGAAACAAATACGGAGAGAAAGAAATATCCCAACCACACAGAGATCCAACACTCCCACCATGACAGTCCTGCCTGAACACCAGTGGATGCAATTTGCCAGGTATTGATATTGAAGGACTCGCTAACCCAAAGGAATACAAAATTATACCAGCTCCATGGTCTCTCATGTTCATCAAACACTGGCTGTAAATCCTGATTAATGAGGAACTGCTCGGAGACGGTGAGTGATAAGTCAGAGTCATGCAATGACAACCAAGTCCAGAACCTCTTCTGCAAAGACTGGTTTTCAGTTTCTGGAAGGTTTCCAGTAAGCTCTGTTTCCTGGGATTTAATGCTATCAAACTCCACTTTCTCCATTTTGTTGATCTCTAGTCCATATTGAATATAAAACTGAACTCTTCTGATGTAAAATTTTTCGAGTCTTGAGGAATAGTTTTTATAAGAAGAGGTCTCCATGTATATTGAAGAAATTTTTCATTCGAGCGGCGTTTAAAACTTCAACACTGCATAGGCCTTGCATGATGCATAGAGTTGAAATGCCGTTAGCTGTTACTTGGGAAATCAAATTTTATTCACCAAATATTATATTCCCTACTAAAAAAGACCTGGGTAGTTTGTCTATTCCCTTTAGCAAATGCTGTTGGTTTGGTGCTTTGTTTGAATTTGCTTTATTGAATTCTCTTGAGAAGTGCTTACTCATTTGCTGACACCAAATTAGTTCTGGTCTGCTGATGAGGTGGTGTCATGGAGCCGTGCACGGTGACGGTTGTAGTTCAGCGTCAAGTTTCTTTTTTTTTATGCCTTTAACTAGTGAGGCGAAAGAACTAGACCCTTCTCGTATAATCACACCTTTAAAACTGGTGATGGAAAAGTACGACTCTCCTGATGAAGTTCTACACAGCTAAGAGAAAGAATGGAAATCAACATGGTGAGAATGTACAGGCTTGGTTCCTAGGCACGAAAAGGGTGCCAATCACTACGGGAGGAGCTTCACTCTCCCATTCATCTGCGCTAGAATGGTAAGGCAGTCGATTGAATACGTTCTTTTAGAAAAAGCGAGTGAAAAAGACAATATTAAATTTAAAACCAATATAACTAGTGAGAAATTCAGCTAAACCATTTGGCTTGACCACTGACGTACTCATCTGGATGGTATTCATTGATCTCCTTAGTGAAGTCGTCAACATTGTAGTCGATGAATGTCTCATACCATCCACGCTTACTCAAAAACTTCTTCTCAGGCATACCTCTAACTGGGAAGACGTAGACAAGGGCACAATAGACACAGAATGCAGTAATGTAACCACAGAAGAAAGACAAGTTGTACAGATATGTTGCACCAACTGGGACATCGTTACCACAGGCACCAGCAAAACCAACAACATTTGGTAAAATACCACAAATGTAAGCAACATAACCTCTCCAGTTGACACCCAGTTTGTTGTAAGTGTAATTCATGCTTTGGTTGTTTGAGTACAAGTGGAAAATGTTGATGTAACCCCTACGAACAGCACAGTAATCAGCGGCGACAACACCTGCGATGGAGGACAAGAACACGGAATAAGCACTAAGATAAGTGGTGAAGTTTTTTGAAGTAGTGAAGAAGTTCCATGGACAGACACAGAAGGCGATAGCGGCACAGAAGAAACCACCACGTCTAATGTTGACATATCTTGGAAGCAAAGCAGAACCGTCCGTACCAGCGGACAAAGAGTTTGCAGAAATGTTCGTACCAACCTGGGCCAAAGCAAATGCAAAAGAGATGAAAAACACACCAGCACGATCTCCAGATGTATAACTTTCAACATAACGTGTCAACAAATCCAATGGTGACCAGTAGGTCTCGCCATACATTGTTGTGGAGGCAGAAGATGCCAAAATACCGATCAGTGATGTGAGGGCAAAACAGATTGGAATGGCCAAGAACTGAGATAACGAAGAAGAGGATGGTCTCTTTGCCAAACGTGAGAAATCAGGAGCGTTAACAATCAAAGTAGCAAAGTTGGCCAAACAGTTCATTGTGGAGTTGATGAAAGCCCAAGCATGGTCGGAGCCATGTAAGCTGGTCTTTTGATCAACCACTGGACCAATACCCCCAGCACGGACAATGGTCCAAACGAGGAAAGCAATACCAGCTGTAGAACAGGCATAAGCCTTCACGGTGAACAAGTGTCTCACCGTCTGAGGTCTGCAATAGATGAAAGGTAAAGAGCAGAAACAGAATAAAAAGTAACACAAAAATTGGAAAGTTGTAGTGCCAGAGCTTGCGATACCGTTTGGAATTCTGGTATCCAAGTCAGCACCAAAGATAGCCTTGAGCATTAGTGCAACACACTGGCCACCAATCCAGGACTGGACAGAATACCAAATGATAGCCATGACGACTCTGTTAATGACAGGCCAGATGGAACCAAAAGTACCGAATGACGCTCTACAACTCACAGGGAAAGTAATGTGGTAGTGTGAACCAACTCTTTGGGAGACAAACAAGAAAACTGCGACAAATCCATACCCCAACCAAACGGAGATCCAAGTCTCCCACCAGGAGAGACCAGCTTGCACACCGGTGGCTGCAATTTGCCATGTGTTAACGTTGAACGCATCGGCAACCCAAAAGAACACAAAGTTCCACCATCTCCAAGGTCTGTCATCTTCATCAAGAACAGGTTGTAAATCCTTGTTGACGAGGAATTGCTCGCTCAGGGTGAGCTTGGAGTTCTTCTGCAAACTGATCTTGTACAAGAATTTGGAAATGAACCCTTCTGGCTCCGAAACTTCAGAAAAGGATCCAGTTCTTACTTTACCATCAACTTCGGAGTATTCAGCTGATGCTCTGTCCTCGAGGACATACTCCTCTGGGGCCTTCTTAGTGTCTGAGAACGATGCCGAGGACATGGTTCTTATGTTTGTGTATATATATGTGTGTGTGCACTTGATCTATCACCATCACATGAGAAGCAAAAGATGGCGGAGATGAACGCTTATATATGTATCATTTCCTACGATTCCAACCTACAAATCAGAAGATAAAAGAAGATGTTTGACGTATGCAATGTAATCGCTGCGTTTTTCAAGAGGTCTGAGGCACAACTGATAAGGAAACTTGGTACTTGTTCGTGTTGAGTAACAGGAAACCGTCCTGATCAGCGCAACAGTCCAACGGACGGATTGGTCCGCCTGGTTGGACAAAAAAAGAAAAGAGAAAAAAGAAAGAAAAAATCAGAGCATCTTAGACAAAGCAGAAGATGATGTAAGATGGAGATACTGTTCAGGACAAGCCCAGTTTAGGCTATTGATTGAACACATTGTATGGAATGGTACTGCTTTATTTGCAGGGCACGAGGACTCTAAACTGATCGCAGCTCTGCTGGTGTTCATAACGTACTACTTACTATGGCCATTGGGAGCCCGAAGACCCAATTAAGCGTGTAGCGGGTGCTTAGCTAGCGTGTACCGGTACACTACTGACGATGTGTACTTCTCGCACCTGTGACATGAGGAAATCTATCACTTCGTTTAGAGGTTGGTATACGCTACTCAATTGTCGCACCGTTGATGGCTCGATAGGTTCGCCCTTATTGCTCATCTTAACAGGTGATGATTTGTTCATTGTACGTAGACGCACTGTGTAGTAGTAGCGATGCTTCATCGCAGCACTCACCGGACTGATACGACACCATGGCTAGATCGCCGACATTGCACATCAGAAGTTGCAAAGCTCTGGAGAGAATTACTACAGGCGACATTGTACTGATAGACGTACGGGATCATGATATAGGTACATACATGTACAGTCGTAAGTTAGAACTTTCAAGTTCTATCGATGTTGCGATAGCGGTTGAACTTAACGTCTCGTGCGTTAGTTGATCCTCTCCAGGTACCTGCCGGTTCACGTAGTTACGGATCGATAAACTCTCCAATGGCCCCCAATGCTCTCGGAATTTACCGTTGTAACGGGAATTTAGCGATGAGGGGCGATCTGTGCCTTACGCGATTGTTGGCCTTGAACAACCAATGAGAAACGGTAGCCGGTCCGAGACGTGATCTACACACACATACAAGTTCCAAACATTCATAAATGAGATTGCCATATGGGTTGTTTCCATGCTGGCGTGATCCTTTTCCCCAGAACTATACCTTCTGGAGAGTTGGGTATTCGACCCCAATCAGGTTTATCTTTTGGAATTGATGTTTTTTACCCCAGCATTGTTCATTGTCAATTGTACCCACTGGTTATAGCGTTATTTCCTCGTGTTCCCTTTTCGGAACACGATTAAATTGTTTGATAAGGCTAATCGCCGTAGGAGTTGAGCAATTGGATGGCCGGACTGTGCTACAATTACATGTTACCTACATTTGGGAACTATAAGCTTCCTAGTCTGAGCAATTAACTAAAACTGCATGTGGCAACACATACTATGTTGAGGAAAGGTGAGCGGGCGTTATTCTGTGTCAGCGTGCCATATTCCAGCCTACGCTACATGGTTCAAAGGCATAAGCATACGCTAAATCTTGACGCAACTAATTGACTTCATACACGTTGATAATACAATCCAGAAGCAAATGTTTATTGATGCGCTCTTGCCCCTGAGATCGTTATCGATTGCCATCCGTTGTTCTTCAGTGTAGATTAAATTAGATGACTTCGTTCTCAGCACCAAGTTTGAGGTGTGGTCTGAACGATTCAAAGAGTACCATAAACGAAATTCAAAGAAATTGGTCCACTGGAAAGAACATTACCTCATAATTGGTGCTATGTGTATATACATCGAGACTGGTAATTCCCGGATCTCTTGCATTTAATCATGGGTCTCCGAAGGTAAGGCACATGTTACAATTTATCACGCCAGGTGTAACTTCTTTATCGGCCTTTCAGAACACGACACATTCATCAGATACTATCCGCTCTGATACGGAATTGGCTATCTGATCGACCATATATCCTATTGGCACTCATGTGAAATGCGATGGATGTAACAGTACACACAATTATACTTGATCGTGATAAAAGCCCTGACTCGTTTTGACTCTAATTTATACAATCAATTGTAAGTCTACGCTGTGTATCCTCCGTAGAAAGTTCGGCGGCGTGTTCCTCGTTTACAAGACGCTCAAACCCCCTTCACTTGGAAGTGATTCTGTGGCTCTTTTAATCTGTAAGAGTACTTTCTATCCGTGAGGATCATAATTAGAAAGAAAAGGTATTCAGCTCCTTATCTTCGGCGGTAACGGTTCTTCCATTGCAGGTCCCAATGAGCACCCGGAGTGCAATGCCAGGCTGCTCGTCATCTTGATAATAGACATCAATTTATCATGATAGAATAAATCCTTAATTTCTTGGAACTTAACCTTGACCTCCTTCATACAACTAACAACTTAGAGGAAATAATTGCTTACAACAACACCACTTGTAACTGCTTCAATGGTATTACGAGAATATATTCCTCTGTCATTTCCATATTGCTGAATTTGCAAAGGTAAGAAATTAATAACAGAGCATACCTAAATCATGTGAGTCCAAAAAGTGTGGTACATATACTGAACATTTTTCTTTTGTCATCAACTTACAATGTCTCTAACAACACTCAGTGAGTCAAACCCACAACTCAGTGAAGGTCTATTTAAAGCCATGTATTACCTCATTCTAGGCCAATGCTCAAATTAACCAGTTCAGGATAAGGGAGGAAAGCTCAACCAGTCGATAAGCAAAAAGATATTCTTGCAAGCTTGAAGCAAACACCATAATTGAGCCATTTCAAAACATCTTGTTGTTTCTCAAAGGCAAATAATTATTGAAGATTTACGAACCAGAATAACAGGCTCTTTTTAAAGCCAAAGAGTATTTGACAATGAAATAGACCACATTATTAAACCTGAGACGTTAGATGGTATCCTGAACTACAATGGTAGACTAGTTGATTTAAAGTCTCTGGACTTCCAAAAAAAGATTCTCGGTGGGATACTAGCCAACTTGAAACAATCTTCAAGTATAGAATGGTAAAGTTCACCTTGTACAGCCCTTGATGATTTTACGACTCCTGAAAGTTGGTCTTGAAATAGATTAAACTATTCGTCTTGGTCCGCCCAGAGATGAACACAGGCAAACTCTTTGAGAAGTTATTCAATAGACCAGAACCTGACGGAAAGAATGTTTCTACTCAAGTCTCGAGAACTTTCTAGATAAGCTGAACTTACAGATTTCAGGCTGAAAGAAAGCTCGATAAATTCATTCTGGATGGGAATATATGTCTTCTAAACATCATCAAACATTTGAGACAGTTGGAATCACTTTCTGAGAAGTACAAAAAGATACATTTTGACTTTGAAGATACTAGAAACTATTGAATGGTTTTTGTTGCAAGAGGAAGCTGGTGTTTTCCCGAGCTCCATACTAAAAACACCTCTAAACTATTATAGGTTATCTCTTGTGCCATCCTATCAGGAGACAGAACTTCCTTTATGAATTGGAACAGATAGACAAGAGATTATTTAAAACCACTACAATGAAAATTTGGAGAGTATTCTTAAACGTGATACTTGTTTGATTACTGTTTTATCATTATAAGTTATGCTTCATTCAGTGAAATAGATGTGTTAGATCATTGTCTTGTCCTACTAGCTTCGTTATATTTGCCTATAACACAAAGTTGTCAGCGTAAACAGCACTTACATGACTTTCTATATCAGGAAAGAGAAAGAAATAGAATACAATGGTAAGATACACTATATACAAGCTTAAATGAGTTCGTCTACAAAAACAATTGCTACGAAGGCTACATTATCTTCGTGTTGATAACGAACTTTGGAGTATTTGTACGTCAAGCACTGCATTGGGATGCAGTTAATGCCGGCAAAGTTAGAATTGACTGGCAACTTGCAGAATTGGCAAGGTTACACCAAAAAATTGGAAAATTGGCCGCAAATGAAAATTTTGCCTTGCGTCTAGCCTGCACACTAACGCGGGAGGTTTTCACAAAACGCACGAGCTCCTGCAAGAGCTTTCCAATTTTTGAAAAGCTCTTGCGTCTTTTGTCTCTCTTTTGTGCGTCGTTGCTGTGGATATCATGTACAAAGGAAATCAGAAGGAGTGGAAAAAAGAGTTCGCGTCGTTGGAAAAGTTGAAGCTTCAAAAATTTACACGTCTGATCCCTACTTTCGACATTACTGGTAGTAGACATCAAGTATAATCAAGATGGATCAACATCTGCCTAATGGGAGTTTCTATGGTGTTCGGCCATATGGAGTGATGGTCGGAAGTTCTGGGTCTGAATTCTCAAGCTCAGAGTGTAACGGTGAGTCCATAGCCGGTCCAGAGACTTCATCACCAAGAGACGCGTTACCTGTTTTGCATCAAGCTGTCACTACTCCTCCAAGGATTGGGCATATTGATATGACATCACAGAGTACTTCAGACCAAGCAGATACCTCGATCACTAATAGTGATAGAAAACTGGACCCCAAACTTACGAGGGAAGAACAAAAAGAGGCCGTGCAAGAACTGTTGAATATCCATATTGACTTTCTCGTCGGTAATGAACGATCTGAAGCATGGGAAACAGTTAGGAGGGCTACCGGAATATCAGTTGCCAAGCTTAAGAAATTGAAGAATCAAGCTTACGACAGAGGTGAGAGAATTCATAAGAGAATTCAGACTGCTAAACGCACAAAAACAGGTTCAACGACAGCTACCGTGTGTGATGATGATGAGTTTTATCTCCAGTTTTACTACGATTGTCGTATTTCAAGCATAGCCAGCAAGCATAAGGCTCAACTTCTCAAAATTTTGAGTCAATGCCGCAACGATGAATTTCACTTGTATCATACTAAAAGAAATCAATACATGAGAGAACAGGTGATCGAAAGCCTTTCTGAATTGAACGTTCTACCAGAGTTAGACGTAGATGTTGTTCTTTTCAGAGTTTTGAGCAAACTCTTTGACTGTGATGATATCGGCTTGAATGGTGACAGGGAGTTGAAACGACTTCTGGAGGAAAAGAGAAAGAAGTATAAGAAGACTGTCTTTGAACCTCTCTACAAACAGAAAAAGCATCAACTTAAAAAGGCAATAATGATGCGTGAGAATGCAATCAAGGAGAAAAAAGAATATAAAGCTACTCTTGTCAAAGCCATCAATGAAAATCTTGCCTTTATGTCTAACACAAAATTAAGAGATAGCATCATTGAAACTATGCGTCTGATTGCCGAACAAGAAGCAAAGGCTGAAAGTCTGAAGAAAAGTGTGATGAAAACATTAGAGTCACAGGAAGATATAGATTCTTTTGAAGAGTTTGTATCTGAAGAATCTGATATCCCAGCTGATTAGTTTGACGATGACGAATCAGAGAACCATGGTTCTGAGGGGAATGTGTCTAGTGAGAGTTCTACAGAGGAGGACTGAATCAATACAGAAGGACATTGCTAGACCACAACTTTTTTTGTATCTGTTTAAATATATATCTTTAGTATTTTAGTATTCGTTATTGGTCATAAAAAACACCTTGAATGTTTCAACCACGCATGGCATAATTGTAGTTGAGGTTTTACTTCAAATTGATATACTCCTCTAATGTAAGCCTTGGTCTGACTTCAAAATAACGGGAAGTTTGGTTGTGTGGAACGAGATTCTGACAATTTGTAAGAAAACAGCTAATAGAGCAAATTTGGTTCACCCTTCCTCTCACTAATGCTTTGTCATCAGTATACTGATTCCGCTATTGTCCAGGGATAAGGGTCACTGATCATTCATTGCAAATTCTCAGTTTGCTTAATCTTTTGTTTGACGATATAGAGTCTTTTTCTTTACCAATACTGTATTTGTTAGAGTTGTTTTGAATAGAACGAAGAACCTGTGGCTTTAAAGCATGATGATAGTAGGCTTTGTCCCCCCCCCCCAATACGTGAAAATAGCTTCCCTTTGGAGAGGTTGATCCATCCTATGACGTGTCTGCTAAAATCTTTTTCTGTTTCTCGTCAGTGGTTTCAAGAGAGTAATGTTGATGATCATTCACTGAGCTGAAGTTGTTGTTGTGATTTTTTGGTTGACCAGAGATGCATCAGCATGCGCTTTTTGTTTACATTTTCTGAAAGACAAGAGAATTTCTAGATTTCAGCACAAAAAAGTTGTAACTGTCTCTGCAAACTTGAAACAGGAAGTCTATCATAACGTCTAAATCTACAGCTTCGAACTCTTCATGTATATGCATTTAATTTCCACCAATAAAGAAATGAGTGAAAAATGTTCATCAAAGTGGAATGGACAGATTCACATGTATCATCTCGCAATACTCAGGGTTTATTATTTCTTCACCCGGATCTTTCGAAGTTTATGAGTTTAAAGTCTTCCTTTCCCCCATATAAAATTTTTTGACAATAACACCAAGTAAGACAACGGAAGAATATTGACATGTGAAAAATATCTAGCTATAACTTCATGTATACAGTTAGTGCCACTGCAGTCAATTCACAAGAACAAATGGGGCTTATCTTTGACATAGATGTAATTAAAAACTACTCAGTGTCACAAGGAAGCTTGCAAGCCCAAATTTTGATGTTGTTGTGGACTTTATTGGCCAATTTGTCATTGAGAAAATGCTCAGATCAACAGAGGATAGCTTGAAAGTCGATGATTCTATTTCCCTCGTACGCTCTGAGGTGTATATCGATAACAATCGAGTTTATCACCGACAGCTATCAAATTTAATACAACCTGACAAATCGAATGTTGAAAGGTTTTGCAGTCTTGTAACACCCACCGATAAAGATCATTCTTATTTGAGCCTGATTGAACTTGCTGGTTGTACATGTCAGGGTGATTGTCATACAAAGAAATGTCCTTGCAAAAGTGTTGATGCGCTGTGGGCAGTGTAGTCCAGGAAACATGAAGGCACAAATCACACACCTGACTAATGCAAGTTGAACCTCGGTAAACAATATATCAGCTGGTGAAACAGCTTCAGAAAAGACTGGAAAAGTAATAATACTAGAGTAGAGAGCATTGTTTGTGAAGAAACCCAATGATGTTTACAGCATTGTTGATCAAAAGATTGGTGATCTTAAAACATCTCGTGAAAAAAGAGTTTCTGATTGGAATAATAGTTCTAAGTTATTGTATACATGTTGTTAATTATCTATTTCTCAACCAAATTCTGGTATAATTCTCTAAATATTACGCAGTTATACCCGACAGACCACCTAGCCTGTAGCCTAGCTGTTGTGACACACGTCACTACAAATGTGGACATTTGACGCTCCTTTGAGTGGGGGTTTGAACCGATTACCTTTTAGCTATTCTCAATTTTAATCATAACGTTCTCAAACGTATGTCTTTAGCTATATATATCAAAGAGTAATCATATATTATAGTTGAAAATACAATATCCAATTAAGAGCTTTCCTAATGAATAACCAAGTCCATTTTTTGATATAGTCGAAAAAGATCTCAATTCTAAAAAATCATACTAAAATTCCTCAAAAAAAATAAATCTTCAAGATCTCACAATTTAATCGTGCTAAGCAATCACTTCAAATACCTCTTGTTATAAACAGTTAAGCTATGAAAGCATAGAACGAATAGGATATCTCTTCCTCCATATTAAATGGCTATATATAGCAGTGCCCGAACCAACCATTCGCATGTAAAACCACCTCACAGGAGAACATCCGGACATTACGAAAAATTTACCTTTACCATTTTTCAGCCAATTGCAAGGTTGCATTTTGAAATTGTCATTCGCGGGAAAGGCAGTGGGCAAAAGTTAAAGACAGTAAAAAAACACACACACACACAAAAGTATAGGTAAAGGACTTGGTTGGAAAGACTATCAACGACAGCTCAGTACAACATGGTTAATTATATCGCTAAGCCTATTTTGAAGGCCATCCCACACTTCGGTAAGATCAACTCCCAGAACTTTTCAAAGTACGCTCCAAACCTTGCCATCTGGGGAACGACTTCTGTCTTCATCATCTTCACTTTCACTGAAGGTATTCCAATCATGCAAACCACTTTCTTCCAGAAATTCCCAGTTCTTGGCCAACACTGGATTCACAACCCAGATCCACAAGATTTGCCAAACTAAGCGTATTGGCGGTTAGTTACAACAAACAATACACAGCTGTCATTTCTTTGGTCACTTCTCGGAGGACACTGGTGCCTTGCTTATCCTTTGTTCTGGGACAGATACATCAGATACATGTTATATTCAAGGTGGTTTGTACCAATTCAAGAGGATTCTTTCTGTTTATACTTCAAATGACCAATATTCATGATTATTATAAATTTGAAAGAGCGTAGATGTCGTTGATATTCAGTATCACACAAGAGAAGATGAAGCTTGAGAACATGGCACATTGAAGTACGTTTGTATAATTGCACAGGTATTTGATAGGAGGTATAAATATGTGCGGTTTAATCTAGTGATGTAAATGCAGCATCACCTCATAGCTCGAATATGCTCTTCTTCTAGTTCGACTACAACTTGATCAAATAATTGGATGCATTGATTAATGACTTGTTGTAATGATTCGTTCTAATGATTCTGCATTATGATTTTCCACAGAATATACCGTGCAAAACAGCAATTTCATAAACGCAAGCTCTATCTTTCCGTTATCCAATGGTCCGATATACTGTTTATGAGGTTTTCCCTTTAACGTTGTATTTCCTTCCCATTTCCGGACAACTTATTCTCCTCATGTTATCGTCTTTCGACCTCTCAGCAGCTTACTCTCCGTTTGTCTCAGTAGCTTCGTTCTCTTCTTCTTCTTCCTGCTTGTCCTCTTCTTCCTTCTTCTTCTTCTCTTCTTCTTCCTTCTTCTTTTTCTCTTCTTCTTCCTGCTTCTTCTTCTCTTCTTCTTCCTTCTTCTTTTTCTCTTCTTCTTCCTTCTTCTTTTTCTCTTCTTCTTCCTGCTTCTTCTTCTCTTCTTCTTCCTTCTTCTTTTTCTCTTCCTCTTCCTGTTTCTTTTTCTCTTCCTCTTCCTTCTTCTTCTTCTTCTTCTCTTCTTCTTCTCTCTTCTCCTCCTCCTCCTCTTTCTTCTTTTTCTCCTCTTCTTCTTCAGCCTTCTTTGCAGCATATACTATCTTATTTTCTTTATCCCTTTCAAGCTCCCATCGGTATTCACTCAATTTCGAAAGATCATCAAGCAGCCAAAGCTTACCGATGTATTCGATTTTGTTCTCAGTGATCTGGTCGTAGTGTATAATGAATCCACGATTGACTGGCTCAAAAGAAGCACCAATCACGTCGTAAGCACACCACAGGTAGTTTTTACAATAGTGTGTGATATACCACCCCTTTTCTGGTTCTTCAAAGTTGTTTGGGAGATGAAGGTCACCACCAGGAGGATGTAACACTGCATTGATCCTAACTGGGCCATTGTACATTTTCTTAAGGTCCTCGGCTGTTTTATAATCATTCTTGTACCTTGTATCTTGCACATCCCTATCCCATGTACCACTAATCTTACAGTACTTCATACCAGAGTTGACCCATAAGAGCGTGTAGTCATCTTCACCACTCAAATGACCAGGATGCGTAGAGCAAATCTCGTTAGCAATTGCACCCTTAGGTCTGGTATCTAGTGAAGTAACTATTCCAGCACTGACGACATCATGCTTGTTGAATTCGTAGTTCTCATCCCCTGCAGCTGACTGCCCAATCCAGAATAGCTCCTTTTCACCGTGAATTTTATCAGTAACTGGCTTCCACAGATTCAGCTGAATCATTGTCAAAATACCTGCAAAATGTTGTGGTCTTCTCATAGCAACAATTCCAGCCTCCATGAAATGATTAGATTTTTCTTTAATGTATCTGTTGTTAAGGGTAAAGTTTGTGGTTCTTGGAATGTCAAAGAGGGCTTCATCAATAGCTGTTGGGAACAGTTTCAACATAAAGTTCCGGTTCAAGTCACTAAAGTGTTCATCGGTATATCTATCCTTGAAGAATAGAATACCGGTTCTTTGGTATGGTCCCATATCAAAGAAATAACTAGGTTTCACAAATGGCACGGAATCAGTATCAAACAGGATTGTTTCATCAAAAGAGTTGAACAGAAATGCAATCAGCTTATTGGCATATCCACCAAAGCGGTCACGATACTCTTTCTTGATACATCTGTTTGCGTTGACAAACCAAATTTCTTGCTTTGGAAAGTTATGAGGCACGAAATCACGAACCTTCTCATAAACGTACAATGGGACATCTGGATCGTCTGCTCTTGCAGCCTCGATTAACTCATCCTGAGCGCTTTCGCTAAGATCTCCCTTGTGTACCACCTGAATCGGCAATCGGTTGTTCAAGGCCCTGAGTACTTTAATAAGACCGATAACGTCATCTTTGTACTTATCAGCAACTGATAAAATGATCCCTCGACCGTTGAGGGCGTTTCTCCAATCGTTCATAAAGCATTTACTCTTTGTAGATCTTTTGAACAGCTTAGAGTGTTGTAATTTTTCTGATGATCCGTCATCAGTCAAGTAATCTTTGTCTTGTGGTTCAAGAATCACGTCTTCCGGAGTAAGTAAAGTATCCTCTGCACCAAGGATGATGTCCTCATCATCATCGTATTTGATATAGTTCGACATCCTTGGAATACCTTTGATCAAAGTTCCATCCCATCTCTTAAAAGTTGGGAATTCCTTAGACAGCCACGGAAAAAGTCTCTGTTCAACATCCTCACATATGCTTGTACTGCCATCTGACAGTGTACTCTCGACAGAAGTTCCAAAGAGTGATGAGATTGGAGAGTTATAATTCAAATAGCACTTTCCGAAGACTCTGAGATGTGTAACAGCATCAACTATGTTTTGTTCAATCTTGAATGATTTATCTCTCATTGTGATAAAGTCATTTTCGAAGCCAGCTATCACATCCTCTGGTGGTTCTTGTTTCAGTTCATCTGGAAGCTCATCTGGAAGCTCCCCGTGTTCCTTTTTCCATTCGTCCTTACGATGGTTCTTCCAGTCTTCACTCTTTCGGCGGATGTATCTATCATGATCGTATGAGTCCATCTGATAGTCCTTATCCGCATTACTATCAGGGTCCATAACTTCCCAGTTCTCATCCCTCTTGTAGAGCTCATCAAAGTACAAGGCACATTTCTCCTCAAGAGGCTTTGAAGGAAAGTTCTCGGAGAACTTCTCCAACAGATAGCCATAATATGTTGAGACCGGCATGTTCTCATCCAACACCAACACGAGGTCCTGAGCAGTCCCACTAGTCATGGTTTGCAAGCTAACAGGACTAGATGACGGATATACCATGATCAGCAGTTGACAGAACACAACGAACAGTGCCACCAAGGTCATGATGTACTTCAGTTGGTTGAAGGAGAAATTCATGTTCACAGCGTGTAAATACTGTCTCGTTGTATTCACGAGCTTTTGCTTGTTGATTCCAGGAGCCATTTTCCACACATTAACTGTTAATACACACACACACACACACACACACGGACTATTCCAATGTTGAACACGGCGGTAAATGACGAAGCGGAGTGAACTCGAGTAGACAACAAAACTACAGCAACAATAACCCCCCAAGCAGTATCGTGAAAGCACCAGTTACTTCTGTCTTTGTCTCAAGCGAAGAACCAAGCGGTGTTTTTTCCTCTATTTTTTTCCAGCTCTTTCAGCGCTCGCTATGCGGTTATCGTTTCTGGATCAATATGGATTGAAAAGGATCTTCAGCAGCGCCGGCTCTAGTAGTGTGAAACAAAGAGAGCGTAAGGGGCTAAATCCAACAATGTAAAGGTTCCTGAACTTCAACGTAAATCGACGAGGACAGCAGAAAAACGTAAGAAGATGCTTAACTAGAACGCGCACACGGGAGAATTGTCCAAGTAGGGGCACAAATTTCATTTTAGAGACAACCAATGAAAGCCGCTTGAGGAAGCATGCGTGCTTGTCAGGCACTCCTTGTTGGAAGCGATGGCTGTCTTGTACGTGTTCAGGAGCGTTCTGTTGTTATAAAGGACTCAATACAGCATTGATAAAACAAATTAAAGCAATTAAATGAAAACTTATATATAACTAACTAAACCCATGAAGAAGAAAGACAGCCCGGTCCTGCTCCGGTTTCCTTTTACTGCTGCTTGTTGGTGTTGGCAGTCAATTGGGCTTGCTTGACCAAGTTCAATGGAGCATCCATAGTTGGCAACATGATCTCAATCAATCTAATCTTGGAGTTCTTGGCAAACTCAGCACTTTGAGTCAATTGCTCAAACTCACCTGTAGTGGAGACTCTGATGCTGTCGTACACCTTAGCACCGAAGGTTGGCAAGAGAGCCAAGTGGTCCCAGTTCTGGATATCGTTGTAACCAGCCTTTTCACCGTGGATCAATCTCTCAATGGTGTAACCATCGTTGTTCAAGACAAAGATGTATGGAGTCAAACCCCATCTGATCATAGTAGAGATCTCTTGGACGGTCAATTGCAAGGAACCATCACCGACGAACAAGATAACTCTCTTCTCCTTGTCAACTTCCTCAGCAGCTGCAACGGCACCCAAAGCAGCACCAACAGAGTAACCAATAGAACCCCACAAGACTTGGGAGATACCAGTGGTGTTGTTTGGGAATCTGGTTTGGACGATACCGAAGGCAGAGGTACCGGTTTCAGTGATGACAACATCACCTTCACGCAACCATGAGGACAACTTGGTCCAGACCCATTCTTGAGTCAATGGGGTTTGTGGAGAGTGTGGAGAGTTGATCAACTTCAAAGTTGGAACTGGAACTGGTGTGTAGTCCTTGACAAATGGCTTAATGGCCTTGGCAAGCTTTTGCAAGACAAACTTGAATTGGACACCTGGGAAGGTGGCGTTCTTGATCTTGATGTAATCAGAGTGGAATTCAACAATGTTGTTGGTCTTGTAGGAGTAAGAGAAAGAACCGGTGTTGAAATCGGACAAGATGGCACCGACAGACAAAACCAAGTCAGCAGACTCAACAGCCTCCTTGACATCTGGCTTAGACAAAGTACCGACGTAAACACCACCGAATCTTGGGTGTTGCTCATCGACACCACCCTTACCCATAGGTGTGACAAAGGCTGGGAATTGAGTAGCATCAATCAAATCCTTTGTCTCCTTCTTGACATCGTGACGAGAGGCACAGGCATCGACCAAGATGACTGGGTTCTTAGCCTTTTGAACCATCTCACAAACGGTTTGGATAACCTCATCCTCAGCTTCTGGGTCGTTTGGCTTCAAAGACAAATCAATTGGTGTGCTCAAAAGGGAGGCTGGAACCAAATCGTCAACCAAGTTAGCTGGAAGGGCAAGGTAGACTGGTCTTTGGTAGACGTAAGCGGTTCTGATACAACGGTCGATTTCAGCGGCAGCAGAGTTGATGTCCTTGATGAAAGCGGTTGTTTGGGAAATGTTTGATGACATTCTGTGGAAGACTGTGAAGTCACCGTTACCCAAAGTGTGATGCAAAAGCAATTGCTTAGCCTGGGATGAGATAGATGGGACACCAACAATGTGGAGCAAACCAACGTGCTCAGAGTAAGAACCGGCGATACCGTTCAAGGCAGACAACTCACCGACACCGAAAGTGGTGATGATAGCAGCAAGCTTCTTAATTCTGGAGTAACCATCAGCGGCGTAGGCGGCGTTCAACTCGTTGGCGTTACCAGCCCATCTCATGCCGTCAACTTCGTAGAGCTTATCCAAGAGACAAAGGTTGAAGTCACCTGGAAGACCGAAAACGGTGTTGACCTCAACTTGTTTGAGTCTCTCGAAGAGGTAACGTCCCAATGTGATTTCGCTCATGGTATCGATTGTTTTAGTTTTGTTTGTTTGTTGTGTATAACGGGTATCAATTGAAAATGATGATTCAATTGAGTTTCCTGTAATAGATGATGATGAGTTGAAACATTCCTACGCTCAGAGCAAAGTGGGAAACCCTAGCTTCTTATATATGTAAGACGACAACGGTACCAACTGACCACTCCCCCTTTCCTAAAAATTCCTTTTAGTCCTTTTGACACCATTTGACGCAGACAGCGAATACAGAGGGCACTGCTTAACAAGGCATAAACCAGTGTGTGCTACGCGTGTGTGTGTTTAACTCATTCAAATCGTGCCCGTATCGTTGCATAAGTGCATAGTTTTTAACCGCATGGTGCCATCCACATGCTTGGATAAAGTGTGCGCAGGACCGGTTTTCATGCTGCGCTCAGCTGGGCCTCCTGAAGGGAAGCTGTGCATTTGACGAATCGGGAAGCGATAGCCTTGGTGTTTGTATAGAATGGTTGCTATTCTTTGCGGAACGGAATAGAGTCGAAGCTCTGTGTGATCTATGGTGTGTGCTATAAGCGTCGATTGATGGCAAAAGTGCACAGGCATGCGGTGTGCAATGGCTTGTACGATATATCGTGAGAATTCGCACACCTGCGTTGTTTTCTAATTTCCGCCAGCGAGGCGATTGTTTCTTTTTTGCTTAGTGTCAACTGGTGATGATCCCCTGGGCTTAAGCACGTATCGAAAACGAATAACCAGGCATTGATGCGGTTGCATAGTAAAAGCGTGCGAGGCAGCAATGGGCGAACCAGAGCGAATCACGATGAGCAGGGATGTGGGAGTTAGTTCTAGACAGCCAGCTGCAGAGAGGTTTCCTGGTTTCCAGGTGCTTGATGTTCAGACCCAGGAGATGATCCGAGTCCAACTTCCGCTTCAACTGGAGCAACAGTGTGTGTCGTGCAGTATAGCACGGAGAGAGTTCACACGGGGGAGAGTTTACACGGGGAAAGAGTTTACACGGGGAAAGAGTTTACATGGATTGTAGAGGATGGTGTGTGCGTTTTCGATCATATGGTTCCAATGTGGAGGATCGGAGCTCTTTATTTTTTCTTCCTAATATTAGGTTGTGTGTTTGAGCCATGGGTGATCTGTGGTGTACAGTTGCTTTCGTATGATTGATAATCTAAATGCATCAAACAATAAGTGCGCGCGGGTACCACTTGATGATTTTCTTTTTCTCCTTTTTGATCGCTTCTGCCCATGTTTTTGCTCAGTGGCAAAGATTGAACCAGTTGAAACGGTTGAAACTTGAAACTTGAGCCTCATCTCGAGCCCCCCACGTCAACAACCGTATAGTTTTTCCGATGGCAATACACCCCACGAAATTCTATAACAGGTTCGGAGGCTCGATCCCCAAGAGTCAAGACTTGCTTACATAACCACTTACGTAACAAATTACGTAATCTATATCTGCTACCCGTCTCTGGCGTATTCTTCGTTGCGCGCGCGCAACGTTCTCTGTGTGTGTCATAGATTAAACAAAGAAATCAACAATCTCTCCATTTTGGCTTTTCATTTTGGTGACAAAGGACCCAGTTGTTAGTGGAAAACCGGAAATACAGGCACGATCGTCCAATTTCCTTTCAATTTTACAAGGCAAAGCAGCTACTTGGATTGGAGCTTGTGTGTGTGTCCTTTCTTTTTACAACTTGTGTCACTTTAAGTAAGGTGAAGATTTGGTTTTCTATAAAACCCCCCTTTCCAAGTTTAGAAGGATTACGCAAACGGGAAAAGGGCAAAAAAAGGCAAACAGCATCACAAAAACCCAGAAACCAAAACAGAATAAACAATCAAAACAAGTAAAGATAAACAGGAAATAGGCTCAGAGAAGCGGCAAGTCTTACAATTGAGATCGTCTGCATAGAATTGGAAAGAGAACACAGTGGATGAAATGAGCGACGCTGACGTTGAAGCTACAAATAGCGAACCATTACCAGAGCCAAACTTGGTGCCTGGCACAAGGAAGGAGCAACTATTAGAGTCCGGTACGTCCATTGATTTCGCCTTCTTGAAAGACCAAGTGTTACCAAAGATTGATGATGAGGAGGTACTACATTACGGAGCTTACACCTGGGAGATCAATGACTATAAGAAATTGGTTGAGGATAAAGTCCGAAGCCCTATCTTCAAAGTTGGTGATTGGGAATTTGACATATTACTTTTCCCCAAGGGGAACGCAAATAACAACATTGCGCTATACTTGGAACCGCAACCTGAGAAAAAGTTGAATGAATTGACCGGTGAAGAGGAACCTGTCGATCCAGATTGGTATGTGTGCGCACAGTTCACCTTGGTGATCTCGAATCCACGAGATGCAAAGAATTGTATTGTGAACACCTCACAACAAAGATTTGGTAAATACGCAACGGATTGGGGGTTTTCCAATTTCACAGATTTGAGAGCGTTGTACAACTCTCGCAGGGATTTGAATGGGCCGCTACTGTACGATGATAAGCTTAACATCACTGCGTTTGTTAAGATCTTGAAAGATACCACCGGTGTGCTATGGCATAACTTTCTTGATTATGATTCAAAGAAGGAAACAGGGTTTGTAGGTTTCAAGAATCAAGGTGCAACGTGCTATTTGAACTCTTTGTTACAGTCATACTTCTTTACAAAGAGCTTCAGAAAGGCAGTTTATCAAATTCCAACAGAAGGGGAGTCGCCAAATGATAGTGTCCCACTGGCATTACAAAGAATCATGTATCAGTTACAACGTTCAGATGAGGCAGTCGATACGCTAGAGCTGACCAAATCATTTGGATGGGATACTGGCGACGCATTTACACAACATGATGTTCAGGAGTTGAACAGAATCTTGATGGATAGACTCGAGGCAAGAATGAAAGGTACAGAGGTGGAAAACGTGCTCAACAAGACTTTTGTCGGTAAAATGAAGAGTTATATCAAGTGTATCAACGTTGATTACGAATCTTCAAGAATTGAAGACTTTTGGGATATCCAACTAAACGTGAAGAACTTGAAGAATTTGGAGGAATCTTTCCAAAATTATATCGAAGTTGAAGTCATGGATGGTGAAAATCAATATGCTGCTCAAGACTATGGTTTACAAGATGCAAAAAAGGGTGTGATATTCACAGAGTTCCCAAGGGTTTTACACCTTCAACTAAAAAGATTTGAATATGATTTCGACTATGATTCACTTGTGAAGATTAACGACCGTCATGAGTTTCCAGAATCCATCGATTTGAGTCCATATTTGGAGAAATCTGATGGAACCTGTATGTATGACCTACATGGTGTATTAGTTCACTCTGGTGATATCTCCACAGGTCATTATTATGCAATGATAAAACCTGGTAAGAATGATAACTGGTACAGATTTGATGATGACAGGGTCTGGAGAGTTACGAAAAGAGAGGCACTTGATGCAAACTTTGGTGTTGATTCGTTGGATCCAAATACATTGTCAAGAATGACCAAGTCTCAAATACAAAATTACCAAATTCGTCGTCATACTAGTGCGTACATGTTGGTGTATATCAAGAGATCAGAAGTCGATGACGTTTTGCAAGAAGTTACAGATAAAGACGTTCCGGATTATATTTCAACAAAGGTTGATGAAGAACTTGAAGAACTTGCACGGAAACGCAAAGAACTGGAAGAGCTTCATTTGTACATCAACGTGAACATTTACACTAACGATCTATTCAAGCGATACGAAGGGTTCGACTTGGGAGCAAACTCGAGATTCGTCCAGCCTGATTTGTACACCGACAATGATTATCCTTATACGATAAAAGCATTGAAGACAAAAAAGTTTACAGAGTTGCTCCCTGAGATTAGAGAAAAATTTGGGTTCCATCCTGATAGAATCAATTTTTGGGCAATGGCGTACAGACGTAACCAAACCTTGAGACCAGCTCATCAGATTCAGATTGATGATCTTACAGTTGAGGAATTGTTTCACGAGAAATTTTCGAAAAAACACTCCTCGATGAACATATGGATTGAACAACCGGAGATTGAACTTTTCACTACTCTTCCAGAGTCATTGCGCCAACCAATACAAGATGTTGAAGTTGGTGATGATGAAAATCTCATTGAATCCCAAAAGTTGTATCTTTTTCTGAAATATTTCGATGTTGCGAAGCAGTCATTGACAGGTGTAACTCATATGATTGTCAATGAAGATTCTACACTTGAAAGTATTGTTCCAGCCGTGAAGGCGGCTCTAAAGATTGCTGAAAATGAACAGGTTTTGTTTTTCGAAGAGATTAACCAAGGCTCAGTGGAAGAAATTAATTCATCTTCGACATTCTATAAGTCTGAACTCGGAACTGGTGATATATTGTGTGTGCAGAAAGCTGCACCTGATATTGACTTGATGTCAGACGATCCACCAGATGTTTATCCCTTCTACCGTACAGCTGATCAGTTCTACACATTTTTGGCATACAGAATTCATGTGAATATTGCTGCAATGAGGGCACCACCTGAAGATGACTATGTTGTTGTTGATGAGAATACAAAACATGACGATTTTGATATTTGGATTTCCAAGCTAGCACCGTATGATGAGTTGGCAACCAGAATTGGAAGAAAAATCGGGAAAGATCCAAATCACTTGAGAATATTTGCTAATTACAACGGCCATAGAATTCCACTACACTCACGTATGTCAGTTGGTCATGTTGTTCCTAAGGACCTTTCTCCTGATATGATGCCGCTATTTGAATATGAGATTTTGAGTGTTGCACTAAAGCAGCTCGAAAATATGACAGCAGTAAAGGTTCATTGGTTGGCTTCGGGGTACTGTCATTACAGTGACTATGAGTTCTTGATCGAGAAAGAGGTCAAAGCTGAGGACTTGATTGATAAGCTACAGGCTAAAATAGGATTCCCAGAACAGGACAAAGCCAATGTTTTGATGTGGACCAACATCGATAACAGGTTTGGTCGTGTTATCTTCCCTAACAATTCATTTGACGTTTTCGAAAGTGGTGACCTATTATTCGCTGCTATCTTACCCGATGAGAAGAGAGTATTGGAGGAGAGATACTTTAATGATGATGGGGCTGAATTAATTGACGATGAGGATGAACAACCTCCAAGACTTGCTGCAGTCTTGCAGTTTTACAAACGACCAAGTAATTTACATGGAATCTCCTTCATGTTTGAGCTATTGCCTGGTGAGCCTCTTTCTCAAACTAAGGAACGACTACAGAAGAAGATGGGATTAGGACAGAAGGAGTTCTCCAAGGCTCAACTGTGTCTATGGGCAATGTCTACAAGAGATCCCGTATACATTAGCGACGATAATCTGATTCTATACGACGAGATTGCTGACGAAGAGTATTTATGCATTGATTTACCGGATCGTACAAGCCGTATGGGCGGTCACCAAGGAGGTGGAATCTCAATCAGATAAACTTGTTATACAGTTATACTACATGCCAGGTTAAGAACAAAGAAAAAACACACACATATACCAGTAAACCAATGAGCAAATGGCACACAAATGATTTTTTTTTCCTTTCTTTGAGATGTAAATATGGAATATATCATGTAGACGTATGGGCAGTGAATCACAGCTCTGTAGAAGTTCTCTGACTTGCTTCCCATCTTTGTTTTCTCAACTGTGTGCTACTTAGCTTATTGACGAACCCATCGTCTTCTTCACCACCGATGACATTGATGATGTGGACTTTCAACTCGCTAAATCCCCTTTCGAGCCTGGTCTTGTTGATAAACTCTGCACCTTTTATGGTCTCCCTACTTACTATTAGGGAATCAATGTCGGCAATTGTACCAGTTGGACCGCAAACGTCACGAATAGGAACAGGATCAACATTCAAGTTTGGTTTAATACGACGTACGAATTTGGTGATTACTTTAACCCTTTCGTCATAGCTCTGAAGTAGCTCAGGGTACTTCTTGTTCTTCAACAATTCGTGGTCAGTCACTCCAATGATGAGCTTAGTCTTAGTGACAAAGGCTGCTGCTGTAAGCAACATCTTGTGCCCGTCATGGAAGTGGTCAAATGTGCCACCAACGGCACTTGTTTCATGTATGGACTCCTGACTTTGATCCTTATCATCCTTAACGGGATGGAGCTCTGTAGAGGACTTCTGAACGTTCAAAACCTTCAGAGAATCCTTCTTGTCGTATACCCACGCACCATACGTCTCATCAGACGTATCTACAATACACAATTCCCAGTCCTGTGGAGACTCCAGATAGTGATTGTTGAATAGTACAGTGACATTGACATCTGGTTTCTTTAGTCTTTGGAGAATCTCAGTGCTTAACGTATAGGCGAGTGCCAGAGTTGCGTCCAATGTGTTCAAATGTGTTATTTTGTCAGTGATTAGAATGTCCAAAGCACCATCTCGCGTGATATTCTCCACTGCTTCTTCAATCAAAGTGTTATAAGACAGCACAGAGTGGGTATCTGATACCAAAACAACGACAGAATGATTCATGCTGCGTGTTCTGTGTGTATATGTTGCTTTTGAATATGGGTTGTCACTGTGGCTTGGAGTGTTGATTTTGTTTCCCTTTGCATTTCGGGTTCTAACGCAGCCGGGGAAAAAGTTTTGAGAGATGGCATTGAAACAACAGCCTTTGAGGTTAGCGAATATATCCACAAAATGGCACCGGGTCCATCAGAGGGTGCGAAGGCCGAGTATGAGAGGCTTAAGGCACTGAGTGACAATGGTACTTACGTTCCAAGGGTGAAATTACGTGCGTTGATGGAGCAGATCAACGGTGGTGAAGGATCAGTTGAGCTGCAGAGGATGCGATGGGACACGTTGAAGAAGGAGATCAATGGATTGGTGAACAAAGTGAACGTTTCCAACATTAGGAGTATCGTTGTTGAGCTGTTCAAGCTGAATCTCCACAGAGGGATGGGCCTGCTGGTGCGCACGCTTATGAAGGCACAGAACCAGGCACCTACGTTTACGCCGGTATACGCTTCTCTTGTTGCGATTCTGAACTCAAAGATCCCAGAAATTGGGAAGCTACTGGTGTCAAGGCTGGTGTTACAGTTCAGGAAGGCATTCAAGAGAAATGTCAGTGTCCTGTCGATATCTTCAACGACGTTTCTGGCCCATCTGTGCAACCAACAGGTTTGCCATGAAATTATAGTACTGGAGATCATGCGTTTGCTGCTTCTACATCCTACGGATGACTCTATCGACATCTGCTGTTCTATGTTGAAACAGTGTGGCTTGTTTCTACAGGAGATGAGCTCCAACGCAGTTATGGGGATATATGAGCAACTGAGGGTGATATTGCAAGAGGGTAAGATCCAGAAACGTACGCAGTTTCTCATTGAAATTTCATTTCAAATAAGGAGAGATGGATACAAGGATCACCCTGTGGTCCCAGAGGGGCTCGACCTGGTTGATGAGGAAGACCTAGTGACTCACGAAATAAGGCTCGATGATAAATTGAAAGCACACGATAACCTCAATGTCTTTGCCATGGATGAGCATTACGACGAGAACGAGGAGAAGTACAACCAACTACGCCATGAGATACTCGGAAGTGACGATGAAGAGGAGGAAGAAGAAGTTGAGGGTGAAGATGTAGACGAGCATGAACAATTGGAGAATGAGTACGACGGCGAACATGAAGTTGAGTCACATGATGAACAACCTTCCTCTACAAGCACACCCCAGACCGTGATTAAAGATATGACAGAGACAAATCTGACCAACTTCCGTAAAACTATTTACCTCACGTTGAAGGGCTCCATGTCTGCAGACGAGGCAGTTCACAAGATTCTCAAACTTCGAGTGAAAACGGAGGAGGAAGTCCGAGTTGTTGAAGTCATCGTACAGGGGTGCTCTCAAGAACGCACATACACGAAGTACTATGGATCAGTTGGTGAAAAGCTCAGTGGTCAATCTTCTTCATGGGCTGATGCGTTTAACCAGGTCTTCAAGGAGACCTATGAGACGATACACAGGCTGGAACCGAACCAGCTGAGAAACGTTTCCAAGTTCTGGGGCCATATGTTGTCATCAGATGCACTGGGATGGGAGTCGTTAGAATGCATCAAACTCACAGAGTCTGATACTTCAAGCGCAGGGAGAATATTCTTGAAGTTCCTCTTCCAGGAACTTGTTGAGGAATTGGGGATTCCACATCTCAAAGAGAGACTCACTGAGGATTTCATTGCACCGTACATTGAAGGCATATTCCCACACGAAGATTCTCAACATCTGCAGTTCTCGATCAATTACTTCACAGCAATTGGTTTAGGTATTCTGACGGATGATATGAGGGATGCGTTGGATGCTATAAAAAGGAAGAGAATTGAAGAACGTGGGAGAAGCCTGTCGAGATCTGGAACACCATCCAGATCACCATCCTATAGTCGAACCCCTTCTCCGTACTCCAGAACACCATCCAGGTCGCCTGTACGTGGACGCAGTGATAGGCGCCGTGAAGGAGGATTCAATGACCGTTCAAAGTCTCCCTCACGCTCACCAGCCTCAGCGAGAGCAGGCTATGTTGGTAGGTCAAGATCTCCAAACAGCCATAGAGGGCAAAGTCCAGCCATCAGTGGTGGTGATTACAGGGATAGTGTGAGATACAGAAGCGGCGCACTGAACGATCAGGAGGAGGAATTCAAGAAGAGTAACTTTTACTCACGTCAGACTACAAGGCAACAGCACGCAAGACATCGTGATTACCATTAATCCACGAGACAACTTACAAACTCATTACATGTTGTAGTAGAACAGTAATATGTCATAATGAAATTGGTATATAAAAACATAGCGACAGCTTGTTAGAGAATAGAAGTAAAAACATTCGGTAGAGATGATTGTGGGTCTATACCATGAATGTTGATCACGTCAATAGAGTAGAAGAGTAAAGTAATATAAAAAAAGTTTCAGAAATTGGGTATCAAAGTAGTGACAATTTGATCAGGCTTAGTAAATACCCCAGTACTTCTCACAGTTTTGAGCACCATCAGCCTTCCACAAATCATCGAAGGCGGTGAACAAAATAGCAGAAGAACCACAAGAGGCCTTGATAGAAGAGATAGCACTCTTTTGAGCCTCTGGGGAAGCAATAGCCTTACCGTAAGTGTCACCCTTGTGTGGCCAGCCGGTCTCGGTGACCAAGACGTTCTTGTTACCACCACAAGCGGACCAGACTCTTTGGATTTGCAACAACAACCACTCACCAGAATCAGCAGCGACGGTGTTGTAGTCAAAGTAAGCATGAGCGTTAATGGCAATGTAGTCAGAGATGTCACACAAACCTGGGTTGTTAATGGTAGCAACGTGGGTGTCGACAGAGACAACTGGGCCAGTGTAACCGGCAGCAGTCAAAGCAGATCTACCAGTGGAGACGTAGGAAGCAACTTGGGAAACAGTAGCAGAACCACCGTTGACAAGCTCGTTACCGATGGAGACGGTGTAAACATCGTCCCAAGAACCGTAGGAGCTGATAGCAGAAGCCATTTGAGAGATACCAGCCTCAATTTGATCCATGAAGTAGATACCCAGGAAAAGCTTTTGACCGGAAGCCTTAGCTTGCAAAACGTTCTCAACTTGGTTACAGTCAACACCGTACAATCTAATAAGACTGTAGGAAGAGAGCTCAGCAAGGTCAGACTTGACTTCAGAAAGTGACTTACAAGCACCAGAAGAGGTGTATGGAGAGTAAGTAATACCCTTGGCACCGGCAGCGAAGCTGGAAGAGTCATCATCTGGAAGAGAACCATCTCCGGTGGAAGAAGCAGTGGCTTGAGAGGTGGAGGAGGTGGCCACAGTTGAAGCAGTGGTGTGAGTAGAAGCATCAGCAACTGGAGCCTGGAGTGTGTAGGCAGACTCAGTAGCAGTGGTAGCTGCGGCGTTAGAAACGACAGACTCCAAAAGAACGGTGGTGGACTCACCACTGACTTCTTGAGGAGCACCAGCGGTAACGTAGACAACTTCGGTCTCAGTGACGACAACAACACCACGCTTGTGTTGGTTGTGTTGATGGGCTGGCAAGGCAGTAACAGAGCCGATCAAGGAAGCAGCAACAGCAGCTGTCTTAATCAAAGAAGAGAACAACATTGCTTTAAACGGAGAATAAAGAGTGTAAAAAGTTTGCTGAAACACGTAAACAAGACTGTCAAAGGAGTGATAAAAGAGGGACTTCTTTCGTTGTCTTAAAGAATGAACTAAGGTTGGATAATAACGAAAGTGGTTTGAAGTCGTTTAACTCTCTGTGTAAAGGAAGGAACAGTGAGTAAAAAGTTTTCTGATTTCAAGGGATTGAAAGTGAACAGGTGAAAAGGAAAGAAAGGGAAATGTCAAGTGGTGAAGAAGGGAAAAAATATGAGTCGCCTTGAAACGCAATTTGGGAATTTACAACAACTTTGAGAATTTTTCTTTAGAGTTTCCTTGGTATGTACTGTAGAACGCCGTACACAGACTAGGTCGCTGCAGCAACAAGCACGAAAAAGTTTTGAAAAAAAGTCCCAGATCGGATCTCTCATGCAATATTTGAGAACACTACAACCGCGACTGGGACTTGAAATCTCGAGATAATTGACAGCTCACCGAAGTTGAGTCGTATATGAGAACTAAGTATCATTACTATACGATCCGTCAACAATACCCACTAGGGCCATTCTCCACGTTGAATAACGACTGGCATAACAGTGGGCAAACTGTATGCATTGGTATTGTACTGGAGATGAAATCGCTTGTGGGTGCTGAGTCGTCCAAGTACCGAATTCTTGTTCCGGTACCTCCATCATTTTGGCCGTGCAGCGTATAGAGTTAGTGTTTAAATGTTGTTGTGCTACGTAGCTTGCGGCCGGTGATAGAGTTCAATTGTTTCTGGGTGTACTGGGAGACTTGGTATTATATGACTTCAAGGTGTACATAAATAAATTATGAGGGCAATCAGGGTGTTTGGTATATAATCAGCCACAGATATCTGGTGTCATTCCAATAGGGATTAGCTGTTCAGTATCGACGACGAAGGTCATTTGTTGTTCGACCTGTTGGGCCTAATGGAGCCCAATGAGCTTTTCAGCAGATGTCCAGGTCTTTGGGGAATTAGCTCTACAGAATGTAGACCTAATAACTCATAGTCTTGGCCGCACAACCCTTTTCCCTATTGGTTTTTTCCCATGAGAGAATTCAGGAAAGTGGAAGGTGGATAACTTGTACAAAGTACGAGGTTTCAACTGATACCTAATACGTAGATGTTTTATGTTCTAGAACCAATATGTACAACCTCTTACAAGGCACTGTTTAGCTTGGCTTCGGCTTGATTTTAACCCCTCGTGCGGGCTACTAAAGGCCATTACACCTTCAAGTAATTTTACATTGAGTAACAAGTTGATCTGTAGTGCTTCGGTACGGTGAACGCGATTTGGACCTTCGCTAACGCTCCGGTAAATCTCGAATCACCGCTACCTTCGCGATCAACTTGCGCTGCGCGGCCCGTCGGGTATTGAC